CTTAATATCGACGTTCGTTGTCTATCCAAGACCCGTATTCAAGACTCTGGTGGAGTACTACGCTTCAAAAAGCTTGTTTTACGTGCGTTCATCTGGGGGCCTTGTGGCATCTTCGTCTGGTCTTGCTGGCGTTGGTGTCGCACTAAGCGCTAGAGCTGAGGCAGCACTAGTCGATTGGATCCCCATTAACAGTCGGTTATGTGCTGTTAGATTAGAAAGTTCCATCAAAGTGAGAAGAAATTGGCGTGAGAAACGACGTCTTTTCGTCATCTCTGCCTATGCCCCGACAGATTGCAGCCCGGATGCAATCAAGCATGAATTCTACCACCAGTTGTTAACTGTTCTCCAGAAAGTGCGTTCGACAGATATTGTAGTACTAGCCGGAGACTTGAATGCTCAATTCGGGCGTCTAGGCACAGAAGAGAGTCGTTTAGGTGGCCGATGGGGACTCGTTGGTCGCAGGTCAGATAACGGGGACCGTCTACTGCAACTGTGCACAGACCACAACCTGTTTCTGGCTAGCTCTAACTTCCGGCGCAGTCATCGCCGACATGCCACCTGGCGTCCCCCCTCTGCATCTCAAGCCTGGACTCAGATTGATCACATCGCGATCAGCTACCGCTGGCGTGGTTGTGTACAAGACTGCCGCTCCTTTCGGAGTACCTATCTGGACTCTGATCATGCCCTGGTCTGCGCCAATCTAACCTTACTTTTCAGTGGCCAACGAAGTGACCGCCACCAACGGATTGATGTCAGCAAGTTGGTCGCAACTTCTGTTGCAAGTAAGTATCGAACCGAGCTAGCCTCTAGGCTAGCTACCACTCCACCGAAAAGTATAGATGAACATTGGTTGCAATTGCATGACGCCATGAAAATGGCGGGTACGGTCAGTTGTGGGTTCGCGAAACGTCCCGCTTATAAGCACTGGGTTTCTTCAGGCTCCTTACAACTCATTGAAGCCCGTCGGTCTACTCCGGGTGACCGTGAGTTTGACCATAAACGAAGGATGTTACGTAATGAAATTGGGCAAAGCTTGCGTATGAAGCGAGAAGCCTGGTGGTCGAAGCGTGCTAATGAGCTGGAAGCAGCAGCTGCATTTGGTAACTACCGGAAGCTCTTCCAACTCATCCGAGCCACTGGCAGCAAGAAGTCTGGTGTGAGTGAAACAATCTGTGAGGATGATGGGATGCCAATCACTAACATCCATCGACGTCTTGGACGATGGGCAGAATTTTTCGAAAGGCAGTTCAACTGGTCTGCTGCTCCGGCAACATCGGTCAGACTGTCCTGCCCTCCATGGCCGGTGACGACTGATCCACCAAACGAGGAGGAAGTCCGCAAGGAACTCCAACTCTTGAAGCGTTACAAATCACCTGGCCCAGATTACTTACCTCCGGCTCTTTTTAAAGATGGTGGTGACTTTCTGACTAAGGAATTGACGACGTTGTTTACAAAGGTTTGGGAACTAGAGAGTGTACCAACGTCATGGAATGAGTCGATAGTTGTCCCTATCTTTAAAAAGGGTTCACGTCGTTCCTGCAACAACTATCGGGGGCTAAGTCTACTTCCGATTGCGTCCAAGCTATTGGCTTTCGTCATACTTCGTAGGTTGTTCAAAACCCGAAAAAGATCAACTAGTGAGGAGCAGGCTGGGTTTCGTTCTGGTCGAGGATGTATTGATCATATCTTCACCCTCCGCCAAATGTTAGAACACCGCCATACTTATCAAAGGCCAACAATCGTAGTGTTTCTTGACATCAGGGCTGCCTTCGATTCGTTGGACAGGGCTGTTCTCTGGGATTGTCTATTGAAGAAGGGTGTGCCTGAGAAGTTTATTAACATCCTAAAAGCCCTATATACAAACACCTCAGGCAGAGTGAGGGCACACAACCACCTCTCTCCATTGTTCCATTCGAGCAGTGGGGTTAGGCAGGGTTGCTCAATCTCACCATTCCTCTTCTACTTTGCGATCGATAACATTGTGGAAACAGCTCTAATGGATGTAAGTAATGGCGGTGTGGATCTGTTGCCTGGAGAAAGACTTCTCGACCTTGAGTATGCGGACGATATTGTCTTACTGTGCGATAATGCCCAAGGCATGTAATCCGCACTTAATCAGTTGGCAATCAGTGTCCGTAGGTATGGTATGTGCTTTGCACCTTCGAAGTGCAAAGTACTTCTACAAGACTGGCAGGATTCCAATCCTGTACTCACCATGGATGGTGAGCAGATAGACGTAGTCGAGAAGTTCGTGTATCTGGGTAGCTGCATAAGTGCTGGTGGGGGTGTGAGTGATGAGATCAATGCACGAATAGTGAAAGCCAGAGCGGCTTATGCCAATCTGGGCCACCTTTGGCGCCTTCGTGATGTTAGTTTGGCTGTAAAAGGTCGGATCTACAACGCGACGGTGAGAGCAGTTTTGCTCTATGCTTGTGAAACCTGGTCTCTCCGAGTTGAGGACGTTAGACGACTCTCTGTGTTCGATCATCGTTGTCTCCGAAGGATTGATGACATTCAGTGGCAACACCATGTCAGTAATGCAAAGGTTCGGCATCGTGTGTTCGGGCACAGAGATGATAATTCAATTGGTGTCACCATCTTGAAACACCGACTTCGGTGGCTTGGACATGTTCTACGAATATCGTCCCAGAGAATTCCACGTCGTGCATTATTTGCCGACTCTGGGACTGGTTGGAAAAAGCGGAGGGGTGGTCAGTGCATGACATGGTGTCGTGGCATGAAAGAAAGCTGCAAAGGACTGGCTTCTGTTGGTTCTTCACGACTCCCTGGTTGGGGTCCGAGAGATGGTGCAACACAGTGGCTAGAGACGTTATCAGATATGGCTCAGAATAGAAGCCAGTGGCGATCCTGCTGTAACCTTCTTTTACTTTCTTCATAAAAAGTGTTTATGTCTCCCTTACCTGAAAGATTTCTTCTGATTGTACCTCGTTACTACCACACTACCTTACACCAATCTCTTCGCTATTGTTCTCTTTTTCTTTTGCGCTCCTTGGTTTTTTTTCTTTTTTTTCTATTTCTCTTCGCATTCTCATTGTTTTGTGTGGCGCATATATATTGGCGCTCTCTTGTACCAATATTTATGTGTTCAAATAAATAAATAAATAAATAAATGTAGCAGCAGTCTCTGCATCAGTACGCCTCAGTATACACAAAAGGAAAACTAAGGTCCTCAAATTCAAAGCGGAGAACAGTAATCCAATCACTCTTGATGGCGAAACTCTGGAAGATGTAGAATCCTTCACATACCTGGGAAGCATCATCGATGAACAAGGAGGTTCAGATGCAAACGTAAAGACGAGGATTTGCAGTGCGCACCCACAATCCCGCTCACAGGATTCGAACCCAGGGCCTTCGGTCTCGCACTTAAAATTGCTTTATAACTTTCTACAAATTAATTCTTTCTTCCCGTACTATATCCTTATACTCAATCTTTCTTTTATGCATTACTACCATTGAAGTGACTGATTTTGGTGTTCATCTTGCGCTAATGAGGTATGGCGACTCGGACCGATGTATATATGTGCCTGGCCCTACGTTGTAGCTGATTGACCAACACACGTCTACTCTGCAAGTCTGATCAGATGTCTAATGTTAGTTATCGCTGCTACCTTTTCCATCTCTTCTGCTTTTGCTACCCACCACTGCTGAAGATAATTACATGGACTTTTTATCAGCCTACATATAAGCTACCTTCTCTCCCTATTGTGTTCGGAGCCAGAAGTAATGAATTCCTGAACATCTCTCAGTTCTGTAGACTGAAATGAAATCCACTGGTTTCCTGTAATCCTTTGGTTTAAGTTACTGGTAGGTATCACTGCTCTTTCCACAGTTGTTTGAATATCATGCCAAACTACCTCAAGTTGGATATCACTCACGGTTGACTAATTCATACATCAACTTAAATACACAAATTATGGAATACTTGTATCTGTTTACTATCAAAAGAATAGGCACATACTCCTGTCAGTTTCGTAAAACTACATTAAACTCCAAAAGTTTCTAAATAAATGCACATAGATCAAACCAAGATATATTAACAGTTCACGAAGTCATTGACTATTCTATTATTATTATTATTATTATTATTATTATTATTATTATTATTATTATTAATATTAATATTATTAATATTATTAATATTAATATTATTATTATTTAGACATAAATATTGGTACGAGACACCGAATATATACACACTACGCCTCATCATTCGATTTGAGTAAGATGCAGCTAGCCGGTGACCAACAATAGGTTCGTACAACATTCGTTCCCTAAGGACCCTGAAGCCCATGTGCACCGATGGTTTGGAATCAGGGTTTTCCAAATCCCCTAGGTGGACCCTTCGTGTCCAACAACCTGGTTGTGTCAGACATTTACCTTTCGTCCTCTCAATTTCGTAAACAACACCCCGTCGCGAGAAGGCAGTGAGTACGCCTTCTCTGTCAGTGGCTGTATATGCGTGGTCATGTGAGATCATTTTGAGAGGGAGAGCGGGCTCTTCCCAACTTCGACCGTATAAGGGCATTGGGGATTCGTGGAAAACCTGTTGGCTTTTACAATCTGATAAAATGTTTATTGCTTCTTGTATCAAGTATTAGCATCCCTCAAATATACTATCGTTTGAAATTTTAGGCACTAATAATAAAGTGATTTCGATCTTTGAAGCCTAAACCAGGTGGTCGAGTTTTTCAGTTGTATATCAAACAGCCTTGTAAACTTCTTGTAATGCTGCACAACTTCTTTACCCCTTCTTTTTCATGGTTGGTTTGGTATTCATTGTATTTTATACCACCGATCTGTAATTAGAGAATAAAATTTCTTGCAAGCATATGTTCTATGTATGATTATTTAGTCAATTAATTTCATTGGACGATCATTGGTAATTATTGCTAGTATAAACATGAGTAATTTTATGTTTTTCAGTAATATTGGCCTTTATTCTATCTTTTGTTTCCATGCTTCTATGTTGTTTGTAATAGGGAAATTATCTGGATAAAACTGGAACATGTCTTGTAAGAATAGCTACCCACACTCTCGATTCTCTAAATCGTTCAGCAAGCCAAACACTTGGTTCTACTACTGAATCCCAGAACAACCCATCCTATTTGAATAAATCAGAAGATTACACTGAAATAACTGACGACCCATCGAAGCCAATCAATTCTACGGGTTTGGTCTCTTTAAACTCCACGATAAATCTCGTAAAAGACCAGACTAATTACACACTATCAGATTCATCGGCGAATATTTTGATTGATGATGCATCAAGAGTGGAAGTCCCGTCAACATTTCATACTTCTCACTCTCCGTGCGAAGCTGATCAGTTGTGTACAGAACAATCCCCATCTCCTAAAATTAGTGATCTCACCTTTGGATCGTCGGGTTATGATACGAACTCAGGTCAAAGTCGGCGAATCCCCGATCCAGCATTGTCCCAAATCTTTCATTCTGTGGCTCTCTTTCACACTTACCAGCCTACATGCGAGCCTGACAAAGGAGTGGATAACGAAGGTGGTGGTCTTTTTGACGACTGGGTTGATGCACCGAAGCTTTCGGAATCACCAGTTATGTCTGTTCCTACAGTACCAAATAAATCTATCCCCCCTGGATGTACTTCTCAGACCCCTTGCATTTCATCTACATCAGCAGCCATCAAGGAAAAGTTATGTATCTGTGCTGATAATGAAACAATGGGGAGTTTTCCTCGTAGTCCTTTGTCTACACTTGCGATTAGCTCATGCCCAACCACTTCAGGTAAAAACATCCCTGTTTCGTCTCACAATGCTACCTCTGCAGTGAGTATATCCGCTTCAGCAGTGGCAGCATCTCTCTCAATATCCAAGGTTAATACACCATCACCTACGAGATTGTTTGACTCACTTGATGAAACTCTAACTACCAACCTGTCTACTTGTAGTGCCTTGGAAGAACAGGTGAATTGTACCCCTCATGGACTGGCGGCGTATCTACCCCGTTGTAATAATCAGCGAATTAATTCCGCACATCCATCTGTATTTTCAAATGAAGATGTTCCTACAACTTTTGCAAACTCAGTGTCTCCGAGACCAGCTTTGTCCCCGGCTATTGATTGCACTGACCTAAATTCTGTCAGTCCGTTAGAAATGACTGTTCGAACTTCCGGTTCGTTGAAAACCATCGGCTTCTCCGGTAACGGCCCAACGACTTACTCAAAGCCAAAACAAAATGGTCGTGGTCGTTTTTCATCTGGAAAGCACAGAGGTGGAGGTAAAATACATTTCCATGTTTTAACAGTATAGTCTCAATTTAAATCCTTATATATATATCGAAACTATTCTCCGAAGTTTTTGTATGTCAGCCTTCGTGATTTTTTTTAAGGATTTACATATAATTAGTGAGACTAGTAATATTCTATCACTGTTTTTCTAGAACTCTTTTACCGAAGGGTCCGTATCACATGTATCCGCTAACCACTATTGTATACGTAAATATCCACTTGATAGTCCGAAATATCTGACTCTAAATAACTGTGAGTCGAGGAAATTAGTCAGTTTAGCTTGAACAATCGTAGTCATATTGTAGTTTCTTCCTAAATCAGAATCATAAAAGTAGTCATGTTCTATTTTTCGATATTACTTTTGTTATTAACGTAATGTAGAATTGCTATGGTTTTCCTTTGCTTGACTGTTTCCAAAAGTACTTTTACTGTTTGTATCAATTCTCAGGTCGCCGTAGACGAACTGAACTTGAAGAACTTAAGAGGTGGAGTGTCTTAGATCACGCAAATCCTGGTTTCGAACAAAAAAATGAGGATCTTTGCGAAGTCCGCTATTCACCTCAAAACTCGGTTACCGGTCGGGATCCTGGGACTACGTTTGCTATATCAGAAGCTTCGGTTCAGACTGCTATTTCGAAAAAGGATATTTCAAACTTAAATTTCTCGGATGTATGCCACCAGTATGGTGGTTTTACAGAGGCTCTTGTAGAACGTGTCAAGCGGCGTCGACAACAGCGTGAAATGGAATCTAAGGGCTTTAAAGCATCACCAAATAAAGAGACCCTCAGGAGTTCCTGTGAAGTTTCCCCTCTCTCTACCCCATCTCCAGGACAGAGTCATCTCAAAGTCACTTCACCTCTTAGAATGCATAAGTCAGCCAGTTTACTGAAACGTGAAAATAAAAAAGGTACTCAACGCACAACATTCAAAACAGAACGTGAAAGCCAAGGAAAAGGAGGTAGCATTAGTGCAGCTGTAAATGATTATACCAAACTAATCCAATCAACTGACAGTGATTGTTCGCTGTCTCCTACTAGCACAGTTTTATCATCTGTTCAGTCTAATTCACCATCCATGAGTAGTGTCCCACCTATTAACAGTTTGCAGCCTAGCCCTCCTGTTTTATCATATCAGAAAATCGACTCAACTAGTAACTGCCATACACACGACACGACTGTGTACGACAGAACATCGAGATCGTTTGTTCCGTGTAACGTCAAGAGTTCCAACATGGCATCTAATTCCAACGATGATGTTGCTTTAGTCTGTACTTTGTCCACTCAGGCAAATGATCAGGACTCTGATTTCTCAGATGCAAAGAAAGCTCATGCTACATCACAATGGAAAGATACAAAGTCGTCGTCGACGTGTAATTACCGAGATCCAGTCACTGTGCAGGTACGTTTATTTAGCGTCCTTTTGGTATAATGAGTTAAGTCCATCATTTATTTTTATATCCAACAAGAGTAAACCCCGTCACTGTATTGACTGCTCTTATTATAAGTATAGCGCTCAGTAAGGTCACGGTCACACAAATTGTTAGAAAGTGGGCTTCACTGTACACTTACTGCATGAGCCATTTCTAAATAAATTTTCATGTAATCTTCGTGGAACATCTAATGACCAAAAATATTTAATCACAAATTCTTTCCGCATCTTGACCCTGTACTTCCACAAACAAGTCAACACGTTTACACATTTTTCTATTTGTGAGTGACTTTTCTCTGAAAATCTCTTCATAATCTGTATAACTGATTCATAGGCTATTCAAGTATGAGTCACTGACAAATGCATGTTCAAGATCTTTAAACGGTTAAAGTTTTATCGTCTTCATGTTTCGCTATCTTATAGCAGGGATTAGCTGTGTGATTCATCTTTTAAGAGTTTGATTTATTTGAAATGGTGCTTTTAAGAGACATTAATACATATCTATGTATTTGCTTGGTATAGGTCATGTGCATGAACATATATGAGTTTTTTCCCTTATATATTGTAGTGAATTGTTTGATGTCTTCCACGAACATAGATCGTTGGTCTTTTGTTCTCCTGTACTCCAATCATATACATTTTATAACGGAAAAATGTGTGGTATAATAGGGTAACGAGGATTTTGCCACGAAATAAAGGCATGTTATGATGTGATAAGATGGGGAAACTATATCGTGATGGCAACAATAAAGACGGCTTAAATAGGTTCCATATCAAACGCGTATCTTACTGTTTATGAAAAACAGCGTCATACGTCAATACGATCTCCATTAGTTACTATTTCGGATCATGTGTTATAATGTTTCAAACTACCGAGCTGCATAATTTCTGATTCTTTATTCAGTGGTTTGTAGTGAAATAACATGATTTGATAATGATATCCTTCATTCTGAAAGCTTTTGTCCACCTTTTACATGTACTTTCGCTACGAATTAATGCTTTGCCTAGAAGCTATTGAGAGGACATGTGTAAAATAAGTCTTGCTTTCCATGAAGTTGCTTCAATTTTAGGGAACTGTAACTTAACGGACTTAGCACAGCAGATGTGAACTCCGGTCTGCCTACTTTGGTTTGACTAACCATACGGTAACCGTAACGTTCAGACTATGTGGCTCAAAATCAATTTTAAAAATGTATACCTGGCAAATTTGTTGCACATGCGAAATGATAACACATATGCAGCTATGGTCTTCAGTACAATCATACTATCGAATTCCGACTTAGTTTGTACAATGTCGTCACTGTGTATTGGTTACTGTGCGAAATAAATATGGAATGATTAGGAGAATTGTTTCGGAGTAAGAAGGAGATTTCTCCAAAATATGTTTTATAGAAAAGGTGGCTCATTTGTTTCTTTGGTGCATGACCATTGATTCACTATTACTAGCAGTTTTACATCCTGATCTTCACAGGATAGCATGAAGTACAAATATTTAATTAGTTAATTGAAAACATAACATTGTATCTGCTTATCATTGTATCATTGATGCTTTATTATGAAATCTGGTGAAGAATACCCGAATATCATGTGACTTAGGATATCAGACTGTGATTTGTTTAGAAGATATTAAGGAATATTGCTTCTCACCTAAATTGTTTGATATTAATTCTCTGTGATAACCAGCTACTGAATATTCTCGAGACACCTTCAAAGTCGCTTCTTATATTGTTTGTTGGTAATTAGAAATCTAAAGGTAAAATAACATGAGCTTCAGTGTGCTGGTGTTATTATAAGATACGTTTTGTAATACTACTTATCGTAATCGGTCACAAAGTCCTGAAGATAATTTTCTGTTTTTGGCTTTGTGGTTGGGAGTGGCATCCAGGATGTGCGTTTTGTTTTGGACTCATCAGTCGGATGTTCCTACACCTGAAATTCACAAAAATTCTAATCCAATACCCATCGATTCAAACAGCATCACGTTATCCACTAAACCATTGTGCCATGGTATCCACTAACCCTTTAATGTTAATGGTAGATATTTTTCTTTCTAAGGTTTCGTAATCACGTGTTGTGGACATCCAGGACTGCACTTAATCATTCTGTATTACCATATAGGATCTTCAGACAGATATCTCGATACTACTAAGATTTGCAAAGACTTGATAAAAATCCGTATGTGTTATCAACATCGATTCATCCTCCCGGGATATACACATGCAAATGGAGACTGAGCAAATTTCTGCCAATCGGCAAGCGAAGTCTGTAAAAAATGGATAACTTATTTGACCGTTTCGAGTTTTCATCCTTATTTTGCTTTGTGATACTGATAATATGATTACTTATCATTTATGAATTAAAGCAAATATCATGGTAATAAATAGGTGTCATTATTTCCCAGTATTCTTATTTGTTTACATTTCCCAACAGCTATTTTAACACCAACTTTTTAAATATATTGGATTAAAAATTTCTCAGCATTTTATTGAATAATTGGTGTTGATTTTAGCATCTCCTTTATATTATTGGGTCACCATCTCAGCAGTCTGTCAGTCGTCAAATAATTCAACATTCTTCAGCGTCAAAAATTGAAACCTGCCATTTTATCGTTTATATTGGATTCAGTGTATTATGACAATATAAAATATAATCCATACTTAGTAGTATCATTATTAGTGAGGTATCAATTATTTTCCTGTTATCAAAGACTTATAGATTGTCTTTTACGAAGCAGTTATTGTTCTTGTTAACTTCTATGGTTATGTTTGAGATTTTTTTCCGACTTAAGGGATCTGGCGTATAATATAAACTTAACTGATATCCTTATATCTACATAATAATACTGGATTACTTATTATTTTATATAGATAACTTAATGCACCGGAACAACCAATAAGTCCACCAAAAAAATTAATGACATATTTACCTATAGAATTCTACACCTAATTGATGATTTGTTTGTGTATCACACGATTGTATTTTGTACTATGGTTTCGTATTTTAATAAATCTACGATTTTAGTTTTAGTACTATCTATTACTTTGTTAAGTGGATTTGTATTCCTTGTAGTTTTCTATCGAGCTATAACAGTTGGCAAAGTTAGCTAATGCAGTTAAACGTCGTTCAGATCATTTCTTTCTTGCGACATACTTCGCTTCGGTGTGGAGCTCATTATCGAGTACACAAATTGATACTCAATCGCATTATTTTTCTGTTATTTTTTAATACCAAACATTTTTATTTCAGTCAGTTTTTTGCATATTTTCAGTTGTACTTTCATTGACTTTTATCTATAAGGTTTTCGGTTATTATTGTATGTGAATATATTTTAGTCTTTCAGATCTCGTTCAATTCATGGATCTTGTGCTCGGTCAAATAATTCATCTCTACATTTGCCACCTCTCTTACCCTTGAGTCGCTACTCTCCTAGTTTACTTCATAAACCATTGTCTGTTGATGTGTTAGAAAGTGCTAGATGTCAGGACCACGTTGGTAAGTAACATGGTTGTTATAATCCAGTTGGTGGAAAATTCATTTGTCACTTTAAAAATCCTAGCATTTTTAATTAGTTTGAGACTCAATCATTAAAATTTTCTAAGTAAAGTATATTTGCAACTGTTTACTTTGACGGGCTACAATTTTTTAAAGCATTCATATTGGCTCAACTACTTGTTTAAGACCACAATTAAGTGAAACTTGTAATAATATTTCAATATCTGTTTTACAATAAGTCAACTAAAAAACAGTTTAGCAAAAACTATAAAGCTTTCCTAGGTTGCTTTGTATATTACGTTTTATATTATCTCTGATCATAAGTCGATTCGAAATATCACTCATCCCTTATTCACTTGAGCTTTTTTCATAATGTGTTTCTACTACTTTGATAAACTATGAACGTTGCCATTTTGGTTTGTCATATCTAAATTATCATATAAGTGGATATAACCGAATTTGATTTTTGTATATTGTTTTGATAATATTGTTGATGTGTATGGCTTTTGTACTGATTGTCATTTCCTTTTCTTGCCCAACCATTATTACTGACAATGTCAGTCAAAAAAGTAGCTTCTACCTGCCGTTAATATCTCGTTGTTTTGACTAAGCGGACGCCTTTAGTTCAACATTACTCTTGTTTATGCCTTAATTCTCATTCCCGGTACTTTAAGAAAAACAGGTTTAGATATCCACTACAGTAGAGGGAAAAATAATCCATTATAGAAAAAAATAGTGGAATTCTTGGAAATTCTAACTAAATATATACCCAAAATCTTTGTTGTAAAGTTCATTTGATTTTCATGCAGAATCCGTTAGACGTGTGTGAGAGTTTCAGATGTTCGAATTTATCCATACTAGAAACGATTTCAAGCTGAATAGGAACAATCCTCTAATTAATACCATAGACACTTTACGCAGAAGAGAATAAGGATGTTCGCAAAATACTTTATACTGCGTTGGAAAAAGAAGAATAAGTATTTAACTATGTAGCAAATGATTTTGCGAATCAAATAACATGACAGATTAAAAGCACTGAAAGGGATAAAACTAAATCTAATAGAGATATATATGGAATAGAGACTTCCTAATACACACTTTACCCCCCGTTTACGTTAATATTTGTACAAGGTATATAAAGTAAATCTTTTAAAGAAATATAACGGAACTATTTATATTTTATTTATCTTGTAGACTCAGGTTAAAATACGAATTCTATTGACAAGTGATTTATAAAACAGATACACCAATGGCTTGGAATAATAGTGTTATTACGATAAATTTTGACTTGTTTTCGTGTGACTAGAATAACTAATTGTTGACAGGTGAAAATCTATATATGTGTGTAGTTGCTGGATCTCCATTCCATTACTTATGTGATACTTGAAGTTCCATCATTGCGCTATGTTTTTCTCAAATATGCTTAAGTCTAAAAATGTTCACATTAAGTTATAGTTTCGGACCCCGCCCCACCTGATTTGGCTTGAGCGACTAGGTATTAATGTAAAAAATCAAGGTGATTTTAATTAAATAAACAAATTTAAATGTAATAAAGCAAGGAGTAATGTTAATAAGTAGCAAAGTTGTTAACTTAAGCTTTGAAACTTTTCCCACGTTCATGAAACGTAGACGAACATACTCAAGTTTTTGATGAAAGTGAAAATACTGCTTATTTGCCATCTAGCAAAACTAAAAAGCTATCGCGGAAAATTCCGTTTTCCTTAGCATTGTTTAGTTTATTGATGTAGATATTTAATGAAATTAGACTACACTCTCTCAATGTTACAAATCATCTTCAGTTAGCAACAAAATTGTAGGGTCGAGAAATTAAATCTTGTAAATAATTGTTTATTTGTATTTCAGATCTCATATTCGCTTTTGATTATTTGAAGGATTCCACGAATCTTTTTAGTGCTTGCTATGTACTTGGTATTATTTCATTCCTGTTCATTATAATAATTAGTACTAAGCAATAAATCTCTATCATCCAGTAACAGATCTTCTAAGCCTCATATTTGGTTTGTTTCATGTTCTCATCCGTTATTCCTTTCGTTGATTGTTTGAAATAATTTGGATATTTTTCCTGGAACGTTTAATCATTTTTTATTTTGGTTCAGTTTATGTATCTTGGTCAATGCTCTATTTAAATTGCAGTAGGTAATCAATTGTTTTTTTATTCCGTACCTGATTTATCTATTCTTTACAAACTTCTGGTAAATGTACTATATATATGAACTATCCCCTAAATAAACGGAGTTAATTCAATATGTTCGTTTGCTTACAAATTCTCTTGTAATTCAGAATTTTTTTCATCCACTTATCTAATTATTAAAAAAATAATCTACTGAGAAAAGGTACGTTAATGGGTATATAAATAATCGAAATACTAAACATAGCCTAAGTTGAGACATGTTTTACATTGTTTGTTTTGTTTTATTTAATATATCACAAAGATTCATCTTCAGAACAATATGAATTATTGTTAGTGAAAGTAGTTTACCGTCATCTTTATTTTTACTCTACAGAATGTAGTATGAAAGATATGCCTTCACCACAACCGTGTTCTACACATCATACGTATTTGAATACAAAGGCAGCTAAGAAGCCTGTCGCGTCACTTACTGATCTGTCTTTCGGTCATCTCACTGTTGATGTTTCCTCAAATTCAAACATTTGTTCGTCTGAGCCGAGTCATAGTGTTTTAGATAAGATTTCTAACACAAAACCTGAAACAATGAATTCTCATTTATGTAAACAATTCGATATTTGTCCAACCCAAGTAATGGATGGTCAAAATGTACCGTCAAATCAAAGTGAACACAAAATTTCTGATATGAGTGAATCCAGCAATAGTAGCATAGCAAGTTCGTCTCCAAGATTGTTTTCAGGAATAGATACTGCATGTGGTTCTGATCACAGGTGTCGTACACCAAGTACAATAGCCTATACCCACAGCTCTGCCATGGAAGATAATGATGACGATTCCCCTGACGTCAACTGCCGTCGACATGATACAAATCTAGATGTTGGTTCTGATTCTGACTCTTCAGAAATCAAATCTTGTTCTGCTTCCACAGATCTTGATGCACCGAAAGCAAACGAATTCGGTTCCTTCTCACCGTCTTCGTTATCTTCTATCACTGATGATGTAGCTACTATTTTTTCTGATGAGCATGAATTTGAACACTCTCGTCAGTCAGATTACTCTACATCAACTGTTCTCCATCAATTTACAAACCGTCTAAGCAAAATTTTACGACGGGTTGAAGAACTTGATTTGCTCCAGTTAGCAGCCGTTGTTCAGAGCAAACTTGGTACTGTCTGCAAAAGGAGTTCCTCTGATCAAGAGGATAGTGATGAGTCCTGTGCGCGCAATAATGTTTCATCCACTTTTCCCGATTCAGCTCGTCTTACTAAACAAGAAATCATGTCGTTATGCTCCGATTCAGCTAAAATCCGATTTGCTGGGTCCATGTCAACGATACCAACAGGTCGTTTGGTTCGATTTCTAACTTTACTGTTGGTAAATATGCAAGAAGCTGCTTCCGTTTCTCCAAATATTTCAAATATTGTAAGTTAGTTTCCATCCACATTCTTGTCGTTTTCATTTCATTATATGTTAAATCGTTGAATACTGTTGTCTAAAGCGAGATGCAATGATTTTGTTGTATTGTTTCAACAACCACCTTTTTTGACCTCTTCCCATATCTTTTGAGATAAGGTTCATTCACTGTTCACTCGATCATTGCTGGGCATCAAAACTTACCTCAGTCGGCTTAATTTCAGCACATGATCACAATAGACAGTATAAATCAATTAATTACATTATGGATATTTTTACTCTTAAACCTTAAAACTTTAGGTAAACTGAAAATTTGTTAATCCATATTTTCTTATTGATTCATAAATCTGAAAATTTAGATTACCGCTCTTTGTGTTATCTTAAATGAAGTGAATAATATTCAAACAACTTGAAATTTCTTCATAGCTCACGTACAGATCTTTCTATCCTCATTCATCAATGTAAAATATTTTTCAAAATTGTACATTAACGCAACTATTAGACAATGTGGTGACTGTTTTTAATGCATCCTCTTCAGTTTTAAACGTGACTGGCAAAGTGATTTTTCATTCAGAAAAATAAAAACTTTTTGAAGGTGGCTGTTAATAGTCGTTCTCTCATGTTGATTGTTAAAATAATCAATAGTATTAGTTTGTTTGAAATAATTTTGTCCTATTCTACTTGATATTAAAAGTCCCTGTTAAGTCCAGCAATTACTTGTGTAAGTTTTTAGATACGTTAATCGGATATCCCATTTTCTTTCATTATCAAATGCAAAATTACCGAAATACCGACTAAGATCAAGAACAATTTATTTTAGAAAAAAAGAATTATGTTGTAACAAGATCATTACAGCCCATGTTTACATATAAAATACCTCTTCCTGTCTTTATTTATTCATTAGCTGGGTGTCAAATAAATGTCTTCACACTAAACAGTTATTTTCCAAATAATCTGATTTGGATATCGTCATATAATAATGTATACCAGTGAAGTTAAGACTGTTTTTGCGATTTCTGATAATCAATACTTTTCAAGGGAAACAGTTCCATTAGGTTGTGGTTTTTTATTTTTCGAATTATGCGAGTATAATTGTTACGATTTCAGCTTGCTACTAACAGTTCGTGGTTATTTTAATCTAGGTTGAAACACATCGAATTTCTAAAAGACGCTATAAGTATAATGGGGAACAACTTGAAATCAGTGATAATTCTTCTACTCGGAATGGCTATTTTACAGAAACAGTCTTATGGTCTGATCCAGAATGGTCCTCCTCTCTCATTGGTTTAGATTGCGCCCGTACAGCTTTAAATATTATTGTTGGACCAGATATGCCACGGCCTTTACTCATGGAGGATTTGATCGAAGGTATTGTATCTGTAGTAAAACAGCAACTAGATTGTCTCATTCATAATATTATGAGTAAGTCCCATGTTTTTCATGTTTTCCTTGTTCCTTCATTGTTTCTTACGCTGTGTCCTGAATTCACAAATCATCTTTATTCATATTGTAAGAACTTTCATCCTTAAACATCCATTCTAATACCTACTCTAAGTGTTCTGTAAACGTTAAAATCTATGGCTGTTCTAGGATATAAACTGATTCACAATAACTCAACATTATTTCCCTGTCTGTCTATCTATCTACCTACCTATCTATCTGTTTGTCTCTATCTACCTGGTTGTGCTGATTTCACTTCAAGTATTTTTCAGCACTGTTTTAGGTTTTGTGTAGAAACACAACAAAAGTTTTCACAGGTTGAAATCATGAGTCAGTTGAAGCTAGACCACCATTGAAAACCTGGAAGCACTGGACGGCCGTTTCGTCCTGGTATGGGACTCCTCAGCAGTGCGCATCCACGATCCCGCACCACGCGGGGCTCGAACCCAGGACCTACTGGCTTCGCGCGCGAGCACTTAACCACTAGACCACTGAGCCGGCATCCAACGGTGTTAATGTCTAACTTCAACCAATCCACGAAGTTGCGCTACCGTACACCATTGTCTTCAGTGAGTTGTTATCTCACAACAGACCGGTTGAACTCCACTGGTAACGGCTTCTCACTAGAACTCCAGGAGTTTTTCTTGAAGTCAGTCACTAATGAGCAGTTGATTATTATCAGAATGTGTTTTGTGGAGAGTTTTTAAAAATTTTCACAGGTTGAAATCATGAGTGGATGCGCACTGCTGAGGAGTCCCATACCAGGACGAAACGGCCGTCCAGTGCTTCCAGGTTTTCAATGGTGGTCTAGCTTCAACTGACTCATGATTTCAACCTGTGAAAATTTCTAAAAACTCTCCACAAAACCCATTCTGACAACAAAAATTCTTGTAGTTCTCCATTCCATCGTGCTTAATTTTCTTGAGGATTTATATTTTTAATTTATTATGATTATATCGTAACCGCCGTTAATTCAGTCGCCTAATTAATCGTATAAAACTGATTAAATTTATGTATTTCATTGCAGGAGTTACTTCTCATACACCTCATTATCAAAGCTCAGCTGTGTCACCAAGTTTTTCAATACTGGGTATTGTTGGTTATCGAATAACACAAATTATGATTCTACTAGTCAATCTTATGCGATTACAGCCCAATCGTTTTACAGATAATTTAGTAATTAATCTTACTTCACTCGGGATGGCAATTCCTTCTTATTCTTTGACATCAGGAACCAGCATAACGAATGAATGGAAACGATTTTTGCTCTCTCCACAGAAACTAATTAACTTCATAAGTCATACTGAAAATTCTTCGGAATTCATGGGTTCTTCAGCAAAAACGCTTGGTACTTTGTTTATGGTCAGTTGGCCAGAGCACCTACAACGCTCAAGTCTTGCACTTTTAGGCACTCTTTATGGACAGTATGAAGCTCACAGAAAGATGATTGTTGATGAAATATTTCGTACGTTTTTATCAGGTCTTGATGTCAAGCGAAAATCTGCACCCAGTGTCAGTACAGAAACTGAAAAAATAATATACCCATCCGATAGGCGGACTGCTAAAACCTTCCGGTATGTTTCTTATGACTTTAACTGTTTATTTCATTATTTTGGAATGAAATACTAGCAATCTCCGTATTTTTTTATTTTCTGATGCTACTTGTTTCTTTAAACCCTGATAAATGGGTAGGTTTTAAACCACTTGGGTATTAATTTAAAGTGGATGAACAAGCGAGTCACACATCTGTATCTTTTTTATGCAGAGACAAATATAATCAACATAGATGCTGGAATGGATGAGCATTAGTCCAAGTTACCATACTTGACTCAGGATGCTGTGTTCCCTTTAATAGAAGAGTTAATTGTTTTTTCTTTACTACCTACTTGTAATACTACCATCATTTTCAGATGATTTCTCCCCACTATTTTTGTTAATTTTATTCGTGTTTATGCAATCTTCTCACCAAAATCTTTCTTAAATTGCAACGATCTTACAGCTTGTTGTCATCTTCATATTTTTATGAAGAATATTATGGCTCTAAAGCAAAATCCAATGTATCCCGTTCAATCCAAAGTGAATCTCCTCAATATTTGTACATCCATGCACTAAGTGCCCTCTTTCTTTGTATCACTCAAGGTTTAATTCACACACCGAATTTATCTTTTCCTGCAAACAACTGCTCTAACCCGTCCGTTCGCAAATTTCCTTCATCTGCTGTGTCTACTCCAACACAAAGTTCATTTGTTTCCGAAGCCGTTACAATGGATAACGCACAATTCAATAAAGATGAAAAACATGTATTGAGCAGTTATAGTACAGCTGTTAGACATGCACATTACCTGCTATCTGGTTTATTCAAAAGGTAATTGAATAACGTAAAATAAATGCTTTTTGTTATTAATCAGATAAATCAATATTTAGTGAAAAATAATATGGTCAACTCATATTTTCTGAGTAATATTTTTTTTCGGTGCATTCAAATTTTCATAGAACCAGTGAAAATCACTCAGTGTCACTATGCTGGTAGTCATTTATTTACAGTCACACCTATCCTTGTCTTTAGATCTAAATTTTAAATTTAGGAGCTGTTAGGTATCAACGATTATCACAGCAATGTAAATGTATTTATTTTCTCTCTTTGGACTATCATTATCTTTTTGCTCTGCGTCTAATTCACCTTTTATCCGGTGACGTTATTATTCCTTTTTCTGTCTTCGTAAATTTATCTGTTTTTGTACTACTGAAAAGCGTGACCCTCTGAAGCAATACATTATTCGCAGCTCTATTTCCTGTCTAGAGGAGCAACGTTAGGCCATGCAGTCCCATGGTATTAGGTGACCAATAATTGATTTGTATGCCGTTCGTTCCCTCAAGATCCCGGAGCTCCTGTACATCATTGGTTTGGAATCAGCATTTTTCAACTCCCCTAATTGGACCCTCCGTGTCCACCAACCCGTTTAAGGTATCGGAGATTCACCTTTCTTCCTCCCAGTGAGTATGATTTCTCTGTCAGTGGCTGTATACGCGTGGTCACGTGAGATCATTTCGAGGGGGAGAGCGGACTCTTCCCACCCTCGACTGTACCAGGGCATTTTGGAGCTCTACAGTTAGAATAAATATACATAGTTGGTAACAATAAGTATAAAAGCATTTCTGGTCTCTATCACCCACAGTTGACTGGACGCTTAGAACATTTCATTGACGTCACTCAGTAAGATTTGATTAACGACAAAAGGAGACAGATACTAGACCAAACGACAAATTCGTCCTGAACGTCTCGATGAGCTACTCCTAACCGATGTTTTCCAGATGGGGAGTGACCATTTTATAGCACGTTTGGAAGGAGAATTCGAACACTTTTCAGTACTGAATTGCTGCTAGAAAGGTTGGAGGACGAGTTGTATATATTCGTAGTTTTCATGTTGGCGAGATCGATTTCATGAAATCTTACAGGGTTATCAGTCTAAGAGAACCAGATGCAATAAAACGGAGTGTTGAGAAGTTGTTTTATGGTGTGTTATGAATGTATAGAACCTAGAATGGTCAAATGAGTTGGACCGAGCTACGAAAAATCATGTTATAATACGAGCGCGTATTTATATGCGTCTTAGTGGACGTAGGAACGACACTGCAAGGAAACTTCTTAGGGTTATACTTAACGCCAGCCAAGCTAGGAATATATTCCAGGAACAACTGAAAAAAACAGTTAGGTAGTCATGTAAGTGATGCCCACCCCGAGGCAGCGTGGAATGATATCAGAAAAGCTATGGAAACAGTAGTGATATCTGCTATTAAGGTAAACCATAAGGTTAGGGAGAAACGCTACCTCACTAATATATGCTCGACAACTCATTCCATCTGGCTCTGAACATGACAAAGAGCGGAGTCAGTTTAAGCGCAGGCTGATAAGAAACCTACTCAATGATCGCGAATAGCGGTGGGTAGCAAAAACAAGAGATGGACAAGGCAGCGGCAATAGGTAACAGCAGACAACTGTTCATACTTGTCAAGAAAACCGGTAATAGGAACCCGACTGTTAGCGAAAAGATCTCGGAAAAAGATGGACATATTATTCATTCAATCTAGGAGATTGGATTGATGGGCAGAACACTTTAGGGATCAGTTCATCTGGCCTTCAGCCACACTTCGGTTTCCCAAGATCTCCAGTCAACCTGAATGGCAAGTTAATGTAAATCCTCCGACTCTTTACGAAATCAAAAAAGCTATAGGAAATCTGAAGCGAGGGAGGGCGACAGACCCTAACAGGTTTACCCCTGAGATTTTTAAGGATAGTGGTCCAGTATTAGCAATGAGATTAACCGAGGTCTTAGGTAGAATTTGGGAACTGGACGTAATCCCATCTGACTGGTCTCAATCACTGATTGTGCCAGTCTATAAGAAAGGACAAAAGTCCTCTTGTGACAATCACAGAGGAATCAGTTTGACTAATATAGTGTCTAAAATATTAGCCTCAACAATACTTCGACGCCTAATCACAGCTCGTGAAGAACAGACTAGAGAAAATCAGGCTGGTTTTCGACCTGGACGTGGTTGTATAGATCAGATATTCACACTACGTCAGGTTCTAGAACACAGACACACATTCAAACGCCCCACAATGGTAGTATTTCTCGACCTTAAGGCAGCATTCGACTCTGTTGATCGTGAGGTTCTATGGCAGTGTTTGTCACTGAAAGGAGTACCAAAGAAGTACATTAAACTTGTAAAGGCTCTCTACTCGAACACAACTGGTAGAGTGAGAGCTTATGGCGAACTGTCATCAGAATTGATTACCTCAAGTGGTGTTCGTCAGGGCTGTCCACTCTCTCCATTCTTGTTTAACTTTGTCATTGACGTACTTTTAGAGATAACACTCTCCTCATCTAAATTTCCAGGGGTTGAACTTCTACTAGGAGGTTCACTTGTTGACTTAGAATATGCTGATGACATAGTTTTATTTGGTGAAGACGCTGACAAAATGCAGAGTCTTCTGACCACTCTAAGCAACAATGCAAGCATGTTCGGGATGCGATTCTCTCCCTCGAAATGCAAAATGTTGCTTCAGGATTGGGTTGCATCGATACCCGAACTAGTGATAGGGAGTGAAGTAGTTGAGTGTGTCGACCGCTTCACTTATCTTGGAAGTCTCATCAGCCCTTGTGGTCTGGTGTGTGACGAACTCTCAGCACGGATACGGAAGGATCGACTAGCTTTTGCCAACTTGCGTCATTTATGGCGTAGGCGATATATCCGTGTGTCAACCAAAGGACGTGTTTACTGCGCAGCAGTTCGTTCCGTCCTACTTCATGGCAGTGAAACATGGCCGGTAAGAGTAGAGGATATTCGTAGGCTACTAGTATTTGATCATAGGTGTCTTTGAAACATTGCTCGTATATCCTGGGACCATCGAGTAAGTAACACAGTTGTTAGGGAACGGGTACTAGGTAATGATGGCAAATCAATTGATGAAGTAGTGAAACTTCATCAGTTGAGATGGCTGGGACACGTGTTACGTATGCCCAACGACCGACTGCCTCGACGTGCTATGTTCAGTGGTATAGGAGTAGGTTGGAAGAAAGCTAGGGGCGGCCAGACCAAAACATGGCACAAGTCCATGAAGTCACTGACAAGTGGACTGAGTCATGTTGGTAGGTGTAGACTACCTGGTTGGGATCTGCGAGACGATAGCAACCGATGGTTAGAGACCTTAAATGACATGGATCAAAATCGTTTGCAATGACGCAGGTGCATCCACTCTTTGTGTCCTCCCGAATTCTAATCTTCTGAATTCTTCATGTCCCTTTCTTTTTTCTCTTTCCAAATTTATTTCACTGGATTATACTCCTTGAACAACATCTTCAAACCCTAGTCCTGATTACTGCTTATACTCTTGCTACCTCTACCACTACGGGATTTGGATCAACAACTGCATCTCTGTGCTAATGTGGTGTGGCAACTCGAACTGATGTACGTACGTACGAAGTTCTACGTTGTCTGTGGACTGACTGACGAAGGTACAATTAACGCCGAGTATATTCCCTTAACCGTCCGACTTAAAATACTGAATGTCACCAATAGGTGGAATACCTCTTGAAATGAGTTTCCAAGTTTCAGGTGTATTTGAAGACACATTTGTATTCTTGGCAATTTTCTTAAAGGTAAATAACGTGATCCGTTTATAAACCCAGAAAATACTGCAGTCCTTGCAAAATGCCGAAAATACTCTGACCGGTCGATGTGCTTTATTAAGATGTGTGAAAATTCTCTGAAACAACTCGTGTGCTAAATCTGATCGTACAGATGTGAAGTTTGTGAGTTCTATTATCTTTTCAGGAGACTTCCAGGACTTCAACGTGTTTTATTTTGTATTTATCGTTTTTTCATAAAAAACGATAAAGTAAGTAACAGAATATTATTTATTTTTTTATGGTAACCAACGGTTTTAAGGGTGAATTATATGGGATTACCACGTTTCCAATTTCAGAAAGTTACTGTTTGAAAAATCATAATAATTCTAAATGTTCTGGTATCACTAATAGATCACAGTCATCCTAATTTATTATTAGTGGCTTTATTTAATATTATATGTTTAGTACAATATGGAATTCTGAGAACATAGTATTTCAACAAGTTTCTTTTACAAAACTAAAGAGATCGATATCTGCATGTGCGTTCGTTGAGTAAATAAACTATCTGGAATTGAATGAAATGTTCCCTAACAAGATAATAATATGTACAACTTTCATTTAGCATCATGTTTAAGAATATATTCCATTGACTAGCTCAGCTCTTATAGCCTGTTCGTCGCCTAGTATATTTGCTAGATGAGGTATCGTAAAGCTTTTACACCTTTGCTCGAGTGCATGGATTCTAATATATTTCCGTCTCGTTCCACTATAAGAAATACAGGGAAAAAGATATGAATGAAAAGGATGGTTACTATTTGATCGTATCACAGTTACCAGGAGTTTGGAAGATTTTAATTGTCCATCCTTAATCATATCCATAATCAGTTGATAAGAATCACCACACACCGTGCTGGCTGTCTTCAGTATTCCCCGCAACACAGCAAAATCGTTTCTCAAAATCGGAGAAAAGAATAATGGAAAACGGTAAAAAATAATAGGTAATACACAAGAGTTAGCAAATCACCAAACAAACAACTTTCTTCGATATCAGCAAACCACGAGAAAACCAAAAGACATGAACGGGAAAACTTACACTAAGATAAATAACCTTCGACGTTGTTTTCAGTACAGAATCTCGATTAGTACAAAATTTATGTGCTTCCAACAGAGTGTTCAAGTGCTGTTCATGTCTCAGTTTAAAATTAACATTTCGACATCTAGGGGAATTAAGTTTGAGATATTTAACAACAGTCATCGTTCAATGAGTGACAAGAACTCATTCCTATTAAAGTGTTGTGATGAGTCAGAAATCTATAAGTCAACCCTAACACACTAATAACTATTTTTAGTATTATTTCTTCAAATCTATAAATGGAACTCTAAACTTGTATTTTTTTGTTTCGTTTTTTCCTATTTTCAGGGTTAGTTTGAAAGCTGAATACGATATACGATCTGTATTGGAAACAGTTACAAATGATTTATTAAGCGTTACTTTCCATGCACCTATAGAATGGCCAGCCTCAGCTATTCTTCTCAATGTACTCAGTAGTCTTTTAATCCAACAACTTAATCAAACAAATCAAAACGCCAATATTTCGACAAATCCTACCACTTCACGTTCTCGTAATACTGAGTTATGTGGTAAACTTCTAGCTGTTGATACCCTTGCGTCATTGATTGTTGGTCTAAAACGTGGAGCTAAAGTATATAGCCTAGATTTACCATCCTCATTATTCATTCAAAATAAAAATCATTCTGACTTGGAGGACGGTAAAGATAATTGCATGAAAACGAATAAATGTCAAACACGTTTAATTGGTTTATTATCATCTCCCATCCCAATAATTCACCACTGGTATTTTTCATTCTATGATATCCTTCAAACGAGTAATAAAAACGATGACTCTAATTTTTCAGAAGTTTGTGAACGATTAAATTTGGATAAAAATATGATTTATTTGCCAGATCTTTGTTCGAAATACTACGATTTTCTTCTTCTGGTAAGTTTATTTTGCCTTTCAGATTATTCCTCAACATTCTATTCTTCATGGTAAAATCGGAGAGAAATGTATTTGTCATTTTTAATATTAGTGATTGTTAAACAGTATTGACAAAGATTTATCTGGCTTACGATCCTATCTGCTTCTTTTTATATAGGTAGCACAAAGTGACTTTTAGTAAACAGAATGTCTCAGTTCGTGGGTTAATAAGTGACATCTTGATTTATGTATCAGTACTTTAAACGATCTACAACATGCTACCACTCATACTGCAATTACGGCACACCTTCAATGGCTAAGCTAACATGTGGTTCTATTCGAGTTTCTTCCTTGTACTTCGATACGTTCATCTGGGTAGTAATATCCTCATTTAGAGGAAAACAATGGCGATGTTGTAAAAGTTTCCATATTATTGATTCAAAGGATGTCTGCTTTAGTTCGAAACCTAGTAGTAGTGATTCGTTGAAAGTATCAAAGCCATTACGTCATGGTGGGAGTAACTGCTGTTGTTAATTAACTGTTTGGATTGAAGTCTTTTTAATATATTGATTATTGTTTATGCTAGTCGCTCAACCTGCTTTTATATTAGATAATGTTACGGCAGTAAATCCATTGATAAATATAATTGTTTTTACAAGATAGTTTCATTAGTTTTATGTGCAGATATGCCATATAGTACTAAGGTTTAGGTTATATGGAGCGGGGCTTAGTGGTTAAGATGTCCGACTTCTGCCTCTCCTATTTCTGTTTTCTTAGCCAGGTAATATGATTTGCTCTCACATTTAGAGCGTGGTTCATGCCGAAGTACCTGACGGTTAGGTTTTTAAATGGTTTAAAATCTTGATATCAAAATTAAATAGAGCCTTTCAGTGTATTTTGATGCTGCAAATATAATGCTGACACTTGCCTATTTGTAGACTGCTCACAGATTTCATCTTGCTGCATGGCTTCATAATTGTAACAGAAACGTCCCGGTCACAAATTTAGACATCCCTACCGGAAGTGCGAAAGATTATTCCTCCAATTCTACGAAAAACAAAGCTTGTGTGGAAAAACTTCGGCATCAATTACTAGCTGAACTTTCTCTCACACATTTAAACTCGTCAGTATCTGGACTTGGTTTTCCGTTTGCTAAGCAAAACATATCATCACTCTCTGCAGCTTGTATGGGATGCCCTAATTCTTCGCAGCATTTGTCTTCACGAAGTCGTGCAAACTGTATATGTTGTTCGGGCATGGGGTGGGGAGGTTCATTTCTAGCTCAGTCCATGTCATCCCAACGTTTTATCACATATACTCACATGCCAAAATTATGCAGTAACATGCGATTTCGTCTAGTTGCCCATGCTCATATTTCTGCGGTTTATCTCCTTGGCGCCCATGCGGTTTTGCCGAATTTCGACGTGCTTTACGGTTTCATTTGTAAAGTAAGTATAAGTATATAAAAGTATAAATTCAGAGTAGCTTTTGCCTACCGTTTTTCATCTTAAAAGTGTACGAAAGTTTGATTTTGATGCAATTGAATCAGCTATTATATTGCATAAGTTCCATCTGATAAACTGGTAGTTTCTCCGGTAACTCTTAATCAAATTTAACCACCTATAGACTAATTCGTATTCTAACCGCCGTCTTAATCTTTTTTACTTTATCCATGTACTTAGTCACTGTCATCGTGTTATTTGATCAATGTGCGTGAAAACTGCCCTCATTATCTTCGTGGTTAGTTAATTAAATAATAGTATGGAATATCCCCTTAATCGTTGAAAAATTTAATTTTCAATTACCAGTTTGGGAGTTGAACTCTGGCCTCACGTAATTCGTTTAAGCAACTGAGTAGTATCATCATTCTTCGTGCAACAGTGCATGACTCCAAACCTAGGTATACCTAGGTAATTAATTAATTGTATATCGTTAATTCAGCAAAAACCCAGGGGGGGGTATGTTTTTTGGTGGTAGGGAGTTTTTGGGGTTGGGGGGGGGTTTTTTTGTTGGGGGGGGGGGTTTTTTTGGGGGTTTTTTTTGGGTTGTGGGTTTTTTTTTTGGTTTTGTTTTTTTTTTTTGGGGGGGGGGGGGGGGGGGGTTTTGGGGTGGGGTGGGGTGTGTGGTTTTAATGAGGTGGTGGTTGGGTTAGGGTAGGAGTGATTTGGATGGTGGATTGGGTGTTTGGTTGGAGGGGAGGGATTTTTGTTAATATTGTTGGGGAAGTGATGGTGGAAGTTTGTATGGAGGGGGTGGAGGGATGGTGTTTGTGATGTGGAGATTGTGAGACAGAGAGGTATTTTTTGGTTGTGGGAGGGTTTGATTAGGTTTTTGTTGATATGATTATGGGTGGAAGGGGGTATGGATGAGGATTGATATTAGGAGGGGTGGGGATTGTTAAAGGTTTAGTTGGGGAATTGGACAAGTGTGGTAAATGAAGGGGAGTTAAATTGAGGAGGGTTGGGTATATGGGTTAAGGGAGATATGTGGATGGTTAGGGGGTTGATGTGTATGGGATGTTTTGGATTTTGGGTTTATGGGGTGTGATGTAGTTAGAGGTATGGGTTTAGAATTGGATTGTGTGTGTGGAGTTAAATGTGACTGACGATCCTGTGGTTGTTGCTGTGCGTCATAGAAATCTTAAACCGGGACAATATAACAAACTCGTTCTATGTATTTTTTAAGGTTTCTTCTGTTGACTTCGGTTCTTGATAAAAATTGTTTCAAAATATCTAATGTTTAATAGTGAACTTTTTATTCGATGCACTTTAAAGATATTGTTATGTTGATTTTTAATTTTGATTGGATTATTCTTTATTGTATGGATGTGGTGGCTAGTTCTGTTATGCTAAAATATTTTTACGAAACTTAAAAAGTTTAAGTTTCTCTTCATTTCTTAGTGTGCTGCATATAATTTTCCACTTTTAGTTAGCCGGGGAGTCATCAGTACCTATGCGGTCGAAAGCGTTGCGTTGTCTTGCTTTAGTTATTGATGCTGATCCGAAGTTGATGTCTATAAATAAAGATACTAAAAATAAAAGCACGATTTCATCGAGTCCGATTTTCGATATCTCCAACATTGTTCGCGCACGTTTATTGGACAACTCCACAGCCGTTCGCGAAGCAGCTGTTGACTTGATCAGTCGATATTTGACATTGCGTCCACAATCCTTAGCTGAATACTACTCTGTTATTGTGGAACGTGTCTTGGACAAGGGTGTCAGTGTAAGAAAACGAGTTATTCGGTGCTTTCGAGATCTACTACTTAATGATTGGAATAAATTTTTAGATTCTTCAAATTCTGGTTCTGATGGACACAATTCCTCTTTGATTGGAAATCAGATGTGTACAGATATTTGTCTGAAACTTATTCGCCGACTTCACGATGAAAACAGCATTCAAGTATGTCTTTTATTCCGTATATATATACCTCAATTACCTTTTTTGTAACATAATATTCGCCAACTATGGTTTTATACATAAGGCTATAAGTAACATCTTCCATGTAAATTTAAGTGATACTACCGTATTTACTAAAACTGAAGTACTTTAGGTGGGATTCAAATCCTCAACTCAGTCGTTAAAACGTGAGTGCTTTAACTACAAAACAACTACTTCGTTGTTGGATGCAAATAAATGAAATGAAGTCATTAATCAAATGCTCCACTGATTTGTCCGTAGTTGGACCATTAGATGGATTAGTATTTCAACTACTGTAATATTTTCGAAGGGTTTTTTAATCTCTCCCTATAAGTGCTTTATTTCATGTAATCGCTCAACTAATCATCACTCAGTGGAGTAATTTATTGTTATTTCATTACATACATTCGCATCTAGATTTATTCTCTCACAAAATGACCTAAAATATTTTTCCTAGAATGCTTTTATTCTCTGCTAACGTTCTGTTAATTTTCTTTTCTTTTTTAAAGAAATTGATTACTGAAGCCTTCCAAGAACTATGGCTGACTCCAATATCGAAATCACATTCTCGTTTCTCAAAGGTTCTTGATAGGCGTATCATAAGTTTAGCATCAGTGACTGTTACTCTTAGACCGAATAACTTTGACCTGTTGAACACGTTCATTGTTCAAGTAAGTTTGAATCATATTTGAAATAGTTACAATTCCATCCCGCCTTGTAGAAATCAGTTACGTCTCTTATTACCATAGAAAATACTCTAAGAACTTTCTGTTTCTATTTAGGATCTATCTTCAGGGGAACCACATCCTTCAGGGTCTCAGTTTGATGCTGCGTGCAAGCAGATTATTGGCCGTCTGATTGTTTTAATAAAACGACGTATTGGTAAGCTTGATTGCGTCATATATATATATATATATATATATATATATATATATATATATATATATATATATATATATATATATATATGTTTGCAGTGGTCTCATATATTATAGTTTACGAATTCTTGCTTCCTCATTTTTGTACTTTCATAACACTAATAAATGATAAATATATCCTGTTTGTATACTTGCTAATGAATGATGAATTTGGTTATAGACTCATGCATTTAGTTTGGTCAACTTTGAAGTATTGATATGTGTGCAACTAATATTATATGTGATTACCGATCGAAATATTGAACAAAGTCTCAGTTACCCTGTAATAATAATAATGGAAATCTGTTGTTGATCACCATGTTGCCTATCTGCTTACATTGTTTGGTAATATACTTCTTTGGTTCAACTCCATAACCTTCGTACGAAAAAGATCAAACTCTAAAAAAACTTTAATCAGTGAAGCATCTCGGTAATCCGTTTTACAAAACTGTTCTCGCAAAAAGTTGCATACGTAAATATCATATATTTCAGACGACAAGTGACAAGTGATATTTTAATATTAGATCTGGTCCTATAGCTTAATAAATGTAGTTGTCATAATCTTTGGTTTATTTGATATACTTTCTCAATATATTATTATTACCATTCTAATTAATTGGGATTTTTCAATTATTTAAGACATTTTAGCTTTTCCTCAGTGTCAAGAGTAAGTTATTTAGCTTATGTAGTACTTTCATAAAAAATGATTGTGAAATTTCGACCATGAAAATGGAAAAGAAGATACTGTTTTAAAAGTATTAAGTCAGAACTGCATAACAAATGATAAATATTCACGTACAGGTTGTGTATTTGCAAGCATGATCAGTTATCTATTGGAAACTCTCTTTACACTCTTGCATAATGGAGACCAGTAACAGTAAATTCTTCAAGAAGAATTATCATTACAGTGTGTAGTCACAAAGAAAGTGTCACTCACTCAAATACACTACTAGCATCATTGTACCTAGTCTTATTCATTGTGAACTAAAAGGTTAATTGACATCATGTAAATATAAGCCTGTCCTTTTGGCTTTATTATCTGTTTGTGTACGTTATCGTCATAGTTGCTTTTCGCTTGTAAGTAATTGAAATATCGTAATATGCCTTAATCTTTTATTTCTCATTCACGCTTTGCGACCTAACTGTTTCATATACAGCCACTGCTCCAGCTGGAAAAATATAAGAAGGCAGGGCCATAATAAACAAATTTTGCACTTCCGAAATTTTTGTAATGAGTTACCCCAGTAACAAAATCAGTTGTCTACTTGTGTCATAGGCAAGATCAATACATTATCAACATTTTTTTGCCTACCTACGGTAGCATTGTCTGTTCACTCAATTGTTGTATATACAATCATTGTTAGCTCACAGGAACCCCCCCATTCCTAATCCGTCAATAAAAAATTCTGAAAAATCACACAAATACCTCTCATTTTAGACGCACATGATTTTATATTTTGCTTACCTGAGTATAACACCGAAAATTATGAATTTTAAATAAGTGATTTTCAAAAAATCCACACTTAAGTGAATTAACTGTAATTTATTAACAGCAAGATATATAGCAATAATTAATACGTTAAACGTTAGCTTCCAATCACGGATATATAAAATCTCATGAAACGGTAAGAAAAATCATAGAAAAAAATATATAATTTCCTTTCTCCGCCTTTTCACAATACACCGGATGCTTTCTGGTCCGTATTGTACTGAAGAGGTTTTGTAAATAACTCAGTAAAAGAAAATTTACGTCCATTTTTAGGACTTTAATTGATTTAATATTGTACATACTTACTTGTTTATCATGGCTGGCTATTGTAGGTCCTTTACTGGTCCCAAGTTCTAAACAACTGATGAAGCAAAGTCACCCAGTGGAATCTCGGAAATCGTCACAGTCGCTTTCTTTTCTGTCGAATATGCATGGTCTTATGGCTTGTTTACATCTGGTTAGTTATAGTAAACCTAATCTTGTTCGCCCCTACGTTGGTTTTTTAATGGATCTTGTGCATAAAATATGTTTATCTGTTCCTGGAACACTGGCTAGCACTGGACAAGCGGAAAATCAAATGAAACCAACAAATACACAGTTCCTTTATCACCTGATCAATGTTGTGGAAATTGTACTCACAGAAATAGCAAGCAACTTAAGTGAGTCAGATAGTCCTCCTATGGAAGAAGCTATGTTTGCCGGCGTTCCGTAAGTTTTCGTTTGGTGTTTGTGTTTGATCTGTGTTACGTAGATTTACACAAGCACTTTTTGTTTTATATTGTGAAAGTCAAATGTTCATGTAAGAATACAAACGAAATGGCAGGTCTTAAATTATGACCAAACTGAGAATATCTAAGGAGAACAGAACAGATTTTTTTCTCTGAATTATACTAATGAAGAGGCTGTAGTGTTCTATGAGCTGGATTGATGAAGAATATAACACATCCAACTTCCTTACACTGAGATAAAGATATTCTTGGTCATCTCATGAATACGATTTCGTCATTTTTTGATATCTGTTAATTTGAAAAAATACGATTAATAGTGGTTCAGTTGAGAGTGAAATTTGTTATTCCAAGGAAAATCACTATCCCTACCTATTTCTGTTATTGCTAGATAGTATATCAGTAATCCTTTGTCATGTATTGCAATCTAATAAACCTAACTCTTTTAGAGGTACATAAGTTAGATGAGGTTATACTATCAGTCTTTTTGGATCTTCGTATTTGCTTGATTTTTGTATGGATACGTCAGCTGCAAACATCAAGTGTTGTTAAAATTAAATGTTGTAATTTTACTACTTCTTTTATATTTGCCTTGATATGAGCATATATTGAGTACGTTAACTTGATATTTCTTAAAGAATTATGCTACTCTAAATAACGTCTGTGTAAACCGATTTCGTGTATTTATTCGGTGCTAAGCTTTATGTTCACAGTATTGTTGTTTTATGCCTACGTTAATCATCGTCAACGTAAATCTCGGAATAAATGTCCAATAGATCGCAGCATAAAAAGATAAAACTTATTAAATAAATAGCAAAAGAGTCAAATTAGCATCCGTGTGTGCTGTTCATATTAAGGGATCCGAAGCAGTATTAGCATTTATATTCTGACAATGATCAGAAACCTATGCAAACAGTGAAATCATGAAATGTAAATGTGTTAGACATGTATTCAGATTACCAAGAAGGCTAGTGGGGGAAGGCTCCCGGTGGACTCAAGGAAGTTCTAGAAGGGTCGAAGACATTCCATAACAATCACCGTGTAGCTCTCCGATTGGACAAATGCTAAAAACCACTGCATGCTGATTGGATGATTGTAATGATTTCGTTTTTACTAAAAGCTATAGATACCTGAGTGTTTTGTACCATATTTGACTGGTTCGAATAGGATTCCTTTCCATTTTTCTTCTGTCTTCTAACTTGCGATTTGGAGGGTTCAAGCGTTTGAGTTCTCAAATTGTACGCGGCATAGCAGAAATTCAAGTTCCAGATGTGCCAGCAACCATCCAATGTAATATCGTATTGAATTGTGATAGAAGTAAATTAAAAGTTATAAGAATGGGTAGAAAGTGGATTGAGTTAAGTATGAATATTTAGTCTGAATATATTCAGATTAAAGTACTTATTTTAGAAAACATTTAAAAAATGTTCGCTTGTGAAGGGTCTGGTGTTTACGAGCTCTGTTTTAGTGTCTAACGACCTTGAGGGCTAACATTTTGGCACTGTTGGGCATACAGATTCCTCTATGGTTACCACTCGGGAATTTCTGTGCGTTTCTAAGAATCGGGATGATCAGTGATGTAGATCAATCACATGATTTTTCCAACTTCTCAAAGTCTCTGATCTTTTGTCTGTCACCATTTTAGATTGTTTCGGAATATCGAGTGACCGAAGAGTAACTGGAGACCAGTAAAACTGCTCTTGATTTTTCCATATCTTGCTGTCGTTCCTGACGATCATCATTGTGTACACATTTTATCATTCTACTTTTAAAATGTTTCTGATCCTCATTGTTTTCAAGGTCTGCTTGCATGAGTTTCTTAGCAACTATCAAATCAGTAAAAGTTTCTAAAGTCTATCGATATTTCTTAACCTTCCAGTTTAAGTTGTTGATTGATATTAATGCTGTGTTTGCAGCTGTTTTTATAATATTACAAGCTACCTCTTTATTATCGGCTAAGTGATTGTCTGTTTCTTCCTTAACCTTTTTGCGTTCTGACTAAGCTCTAAACCATCCTCATATTGTGACTTCTGCGTTCAGTAAAATTCATGGAATTGCTTGCTTTCGCTATAACACTAATGGGGTCCAAGGAGTATGTCTCCAGAAGGAGTGACAGTCTTCTGATGGGACTCCGAAGGTGGTCGAAAGCGATATGGTGTGTTGATGTTGATATTTACTAAATAAGACAATGTCCTTCATGATTAAGGTTAATATTTATTATAGGTAAACAGCCTGTCTGAGGATAATTGTAGCTGGCATTCACTAATATCTGTTTTCCGAACTGAAACACCACATCAATCTAGCTATTGCTTAAACTGGATTATCTAACTTACTTGGGTTTTAAAATCATGTACTATGATAACTTTGTCTGAGATCCTGTATTTTTGAAGGAAGTCGAAGAATTTCTTGTAAAACTTGCGTTTCGCTCCACTGAACCGCAGCCGGTGGAAGTGTACTCATTAATGGCTAAAAAGCAGACAACACGGTGTATCTCCGTCTGGATTTTTGATTAGTTAGGATTCAAGCGTCTGTTGACAGGGATTTATTCCACATGTGTTTCTTATACTTTAGAGTTAATGCTTAACTTCTAATCTCTCTTCCGTTATGAGAAATATTTTATATACACTTTTGTAACGAAATGGTGCTAAATGTAATAATTATTTGTAAGCTGTTTTTAGCCCTGCAAATATCCATATGGTCAGTCATAGTGTATCTTTATTTAAATGTTTTTCCTAGACGTACTAACTTCTTTCAGTTACAAAATGATTTACTTCAGTTTGTTCAACGTCAAGGTCGTTTGGTTGTTGATTCAGCTTTATCGTGTTTAGCAGTGCTCGTTAATCAAGTTTTAAAAGACCAAACTCAAGTTATATGTTGCTTCACACAATTCTATGGTATGTATTTTACATAAATATCTACTTTTCGAATAGTTGTTTTTTTACTTCTGTACAACATTCTAGTTGTTACTATAATGTATATTATAATTAGAAGTTACCTTTTATCTCATTGACACAACGTCATTTCATTCTCCTGTGATGAAATATCTTTTGATTATTGAAATGACTTGTAAATAAAACGTATTTGTCGTTTTCACATATTTTATCTTTATCTCAAACTTGAACTCGTTGTAAGGTAGGATACATATAATTCCTGTTTAGTTAGTATTATAGTGTTATTAATCAAACTATGCATGCAAAATAGTTATCAAATTGTTGAGCACTTCGAGGAATCGTATGTAATATGATTTCTTTAATTACTCTTCATTTAAAAGGTATTGAATATGCACCATATCTAACCAATTGGGACCACTTGTACTATCTCCTGTTGTAGGAAGTCTGTAATCAACGTGGCCATATGGCCATTACATTGGTTTAAACTACTTACGTACTAAACCACATTTCATTCTTTTGAATCATTCTCAGGCTTGATATGCTACGTATTTATAAAATTAAAAGTTTGAGTTTATTTTTTTCATTTTTTACTTCAAGGAGTCATTTTTGATTTGTATCTTTCAGTAGTTTTGCACCTGTATATAATATGATTAAATCATGATTACTACAAATAGACATATAGTAGGATAATAAACATTCATTTTTACCTAGTTTTACTACTTTAATCTTCGATATGCAATCTGAATTTTAAAATTTTTCATTTATCACCGCATCAAATCACGCATCTATGTTCAATGATTATTTACTTATTTCTTTTTAGGCCTCCTTACGGACCTTTCATTAGAATTACGAGAGGCTCTTTCAACTAAGATAAGTACTTCTGCTCGAATATCATCCAAAACTCGACCATCAATATTGCGGGCATTGTACACTGTCGGTTTGATATGTAAATACTTCACATTGGATTATTCATTTAACAGAAATAAGAAATCGGTGAGAGTTCGTTGTTTTGTCTGAATCATTCTGAAAGTTATTTGATGATCATGTTCTATTAACTACTATTTTATTTTTTTATTTTTATTTTATTCAAAATAAAGGGTATGTCTAATTCAAACCTACTGGTTGAAGTTGTGGATATACTTATGTTGTTTGCGGAATATGCATCCGTTCGTATACATGTACAAAGCAGCACCACATTTTCCAATCCCAGTAGCTCTACGAACGATCTTAACAATGATGGTGTTAATCCGTCTCATATGAAGTCTGACATGATTGATCCAGATCTATGTCGTAAAGCTATTACTGGTTTAGGATTTTTATTATTTCGTCATGATCAACTTTTCTGTACTGGTTCTGTACAATTGTTTTTAACTCGATTTCTTTCAACTGTTCAAAATTCTTTAACCAATAATCACCCAACTGATGGATCCTCATTTTTTGAGATTCAGTGTATTATACTTGACAATTTAACACATTATTTATTGCAGAAGGAGCGTAAAGCAACTGCAGATAATCGCTTGTGTAAGTTGTTGCTATTGATAGCCTTTAAAAATTATTAATGTAATAAGTCCCTTTTAACTGATATTTGTTAAGCTCGTGCTGTCTAAATTTAATTCAAAACGAAAATTCAAACCTTCTTACGAACGACTTCAAGTTACCTTAGGAATACAAAGTTTTAATCTATTACCTGTGTCACTCTCATAAAACAGAATTCACAACTATTTTTCTACATAGACCACGGTTATCATTTTGTAGAATTCCTCTCTTCGCACTTACGGATTTGAAGACTCCTGATCCATCAATAATAGTAGTTGTGATTAATATTTTCTTTTATTCTCTCCCTCTTCTATATGTGTTATTATCTGAAGATTATTTTTGCTCTGATTATATGAACCTTGTTTCTTCTTAAATCTTCAATGATAATATAAAATTCATCATTACAGTCTAAGTTACCTACTAAAGATATATATTATGATTATTGCTGTATAAGGCTAAATGAAATGAAATTCAGAATGCACGTCTCATCCTATTTTGTTCTCGTCAGTTTTGTATACCTCCACCCCAGTTTTCTAATCCATCATCTATCTTTTCAAACAGCAACACGTCTACTGATCTATCACGTCAAAGTATCCACTAACTTTTCAAGGGTTATGACAGATATTTTCGTGTTATTTAAGACTACATTCGATATTGCTCTATTACTATATGGACTCTCTATGCCTCTACCCGTAGCCGCAAGTTGATTATATTTTGAATAGTGGTTAGTTAGGAGTACATCCTTCTGATGAGACCCCACTGTGATAAATAAAAAATACCACAAATACAGGCATATTTGTGCACTCTTTTAATTTTTACATTCTTTATGTATGTATCTTAGTGTTCACGTTTCTGATTATGATATTTTAAGCTCTGTAGGAAATATACTAATTACCCCTACCTAAGATTTCTATTTTCCCACTTAATGATTGAAATATTGATGCCAATTTATCTTATAAATATCTTGGAGTAATTTTAAGTTTGGTTATGAAGTCGATCTATGAGATCAACAGTTTTTGACGTTAGTTTGTTTCCCATTTCTTATCCAGGGGCTACGCGTTCCAAGCGTGAATCTCTCAAAGAACTAACTGATCAAGTAACTGGTCACAGCAGTGCAGTTGCCCAAACCTATTTGCCCATAGTTTTAAAATATTGTATTCTCACCCCGTCTATTAGTGTTCGCTCTTCAGCCTTAAGCCTAATATCAACTATATTACGTCAAGGATTAATTCATCCATCTCACGTTTTGTCTTCCCTGATTTGTTTGCAAACTGATTCAGACCCAAGTATTCGTTCTCGTGCTTCAGTTTGTCTTACAGAAGCTGAACAAAAAATTCCCGGATTCGCCGCAGTAAGTTTATTTTAAATTATTTTTATTATGTTTGATGTTCATGGCTTTAAAATCAATAGAAATATTGATTGCTTTCATACTACCAGTTCATTTGCAATAATAATACAAAGTTCTAGATTACCTAGATATTATATCTTATTTTACAGTCCCGTACCTACATTTAATGGGGGAAATTTAAATAAACTTACATTTTATTGCTTCTATACAGAGTATTCAGTAGGCTAACGTCACTGAATACATATATTTGGTTGCTTAGTCAACATCAAAGATAGTTGACATCTATGGATTATTTTTTCTAGATTTGTATGAAATCTTACTGGATATAGACAAATGTTAGGTTATAAGCTACTTCAAGGATTGTATATCGTACTTGCTGTTATCAGGACCATGAAATTTTGAAACTTACAAGTACTCACCATACGAAAAGAATCAGTGGTTGATCACTGAATTACTCCTTATCTAAAGTTTACTCTGGTGGCTAATAAAACATTTGTAATTTGTGTTTTAATCCATGTTTACTGACGAAGTTTCTTGAACTAATAAGTAAATTTCTTCACCATTAATTGTCCTATAACTAATTATGGCATTGTTATCATGTATATTAGGTAAACGAAGACTGAACTGGAATAAGTCAGGAAACTAATAATAATAACTGGAGTAATAGCGGATTTTAAGCCATTTAATCAAAGCCCCGTTCATTTTATTTTGAATACAGAACCCATGGAGTCCTTGGATATTTGTGTTCTAAAATGTCTGCATGTTAATTCAAATATAATTATCAGTATATAGGAAATATAGTAGGTTAGTTTATTTCCTGTCTATATTTTGTCAGCGAAATTTACTTTATGGGTCTCTGAAAGTTTAGTTTTTGCGGAGTATTTTTCAAAATAAATAAGTTCCCTAAATATTTAATAAAATCTAAAAAACCGATTTGTCATTGTTTTAGATGATAAACTTCAGCCTACTTACAATTCAAAAGAGATTTATGCATTACCCTTGACTTTTTTCATAGATGCGAGCTGTCTCTGGAATTCGCATGTCACATCAGTTGCAATTAATTATACACACTAATGAGTTTTCTTCACTCATAGTTCGCGGAGCTAAAGATCCTAAAACCGCTTCTGAAAGTAAATCACTTTCACCGACAAATAATTCTACATCTACAGTATTTTGTATAAATTATGGACTGTACACCATGTTAAGAACTAATCGACAATATCGTCGATCGTTAATTGTTAACTTGTTATCTATATTTGATGAATACCAGGTAAGATAATCAAGATTTCAACGTTTTTGTATTCTGTGAGCTCCTTGCTGCACTTAACTATATGACACAGTCTCCAGTGTTACGTTTGAAGGCATTCCCCACTTGAATAAAATACCTTATAGTAAAATTCTTTCATTTTATGGTATTTTCATTCAGATCCAACTAACTCGTCTTACGAATGAGAATGACGTCATTTAATACAGGCATAAATCTATTTTCTTTTAATATTTGTTGACGTTAAGTATGGTTATCACCATAAGCTATAAATCTTACCTATTACTACAATCAGCATGATTTTTAATAAATATAAGGGTTTGGGTTGCGAAGGTTTGACTAATATAATATCTAAAATATTAGCTTCAATAATACTAGGTAACGATGGCAAATCGATTGATGAAGTAGTGAAACTTCATCAGTTGAGATGGCTGGGACACGTGTTACGTATGCCCAACGACCGACTACCTCGACGTGCTATGTTCAGTGGTATAGGAGTAGGTTGGAAGAAAGCTAGGGGCGGCCAGACCAAAACATGGCACAAGTCCATGAAGTCACTGACAAGTGGACTGAGTCATGTTGGTAGGTGTAGACTACCTGGTTGGGATCTGCGAGACGATAGCAACCGATGGTTAGAGACCTTAAATGACATGGCTCAAAATCGTTTGCAATGACGCAGGTGCATCCACTCTTTGTGTCCTCCCGAATTCTAATCTTCTGTATTCTTCATGTCCTTTTTTTCCTCTTTCCAAATTTATTTCACTGGATTATACTCCTTGAATAACATCTTCAAACCCTAGTCCTGATTACTGCTTATACTCTTGCTACCTCTACCACTACGGGATTTGGATCGACAACTGCATCTCTGTGCTAATGTGGTGTGGCAACTCGAACTGATGTACGTACGTACGAAGTTCTGCGTTGTTATTGACTGACTGACTGAGGTTGCGAAGGTTTGTATAATCTGTAAACGCTTTCGAACTCAATAAAGCAATTTAAAGGATATTCTCTAAGTTTACGACGCGTAAGCCCAATACAACAATACTTCAGTTCCTTTTAACACACGCGATAAAAAGACCAAGACTGGTATTATACTAGGAAGGTTTTGTTGTTTCTAGAAGTAGCATTATTAGTGTGCATTCCCGAACACATCCGTAACAAGCTTAATGGAACTTACCATTCAGCGTATAAATACTGCTGTTTGCTTTATATTTCTATATTCCTTTCGTCTTATTAATTTACAGAAATCATCACTTCACACCACTGAAAATGAGAGTATTCAAAGTCGGTTAAGTCAGTTGATTTTCATCGCAGATCACTTGGCACACTTTCCATATGTAGTTCTTGATGAAGTTTACTACGTTGCTGACCTAATAGAACAAAGAATAAGCCTAATAGGATCTACTATTTTAAGATTTTTATACCGAAGTTTGTTATCTGCTGCTCAAAACAAATGCTCAAATTCAGAAGTCTGTGAGTTATCCAGATCTTCAATGAACAATGATCGAAAATTCACTAGTGAAACTGACCTCATGGATTTCCTTGATAAGTGTGAAGCAAATTTACCTAGAGAATATGACTTCAACACTTCCTATAAATATGTGGAAACAATGAAAGCTCTTGATAATCAAATTTCATTTAGTTCATCTGAGAAGGATCTACAAAACATGTTCAAACACTGTCAGTCAGATTCTTTAAAAGGAAAGGCACGATCATCTATGGTATACGCAGGACCATCGTGTCTACTCCTTATGACCATCAGAAAGTTTATACGTGAATACTATGGTGTTACTTACAGGTAAATTTTATTTTCATATATGCTTCATACTGTATTAAATGTGACCAGCAAAATATTAAGTTCGTACTAAGGTAAGGTATTATAGAATAATTTGTGAGCTTATTATTATTGTAAAATTTATGTCCTATGAATAGGACTAAAACGTAGGTGTGTTGTCATTCATACTAAGAAACAAAAAGCGAATTAATTCTACTATAGCGAGTTATAATGTATGCATTTTTTCATTTTATATTAGGATCGACTAACAATTTGATTGCTCATTGCTCAAACAAGGGTACATCTTAAAACTCTGCTAAATAAAAATGTTATATAGAGTACCGTAGATTTATAGCCTTTAACATGTTCTAAAGATAATTATATATTTTTTTAATAAATATTCACTGTAACGGTTTCAGTAAACTGAAAGATTACTCACCTTCTGATACATCGAAACTTTGGGAGAAACCAATTCTATTAACAAAACAATCAAGTTGTTCTGGCCAGCTCATGACATTATCGTGCATAGTTTACCAGTACGTTTTGAACCCTGGGTGGAGCGATGTATCTAAAGGCCCTCCAGATCATATTCTTTTACGCCATTCTCTTGTACTGCGTCGAGAATTAATGCTTCATGAAGACAGTTCATTAAATGAGCAGTCGGTAAAGTGTACTTCTAAGCCTAATGTTCAGATTTCTGACATTGAAAATGACATAAAAGGTAAGTTATAAATCAGCATCAGTTTTTCCTATGATTATTTGTTATTCTGTTCCACATTACAACTGTATACAGCACTTTAGTCGATCCTCATTTTACTCTTTCAGTATTATAGTGGCAACTCCGCCTATAGCTCTTCTGGAGTTACAGTAATTCCAAAGCCCGGGTAAAGGAGGAGGGCTGGGCATGGGGTCGGAAACACCATCCCGTAGATAACAATCTTTCTAAAATAACGCTAACCAGATTAAACAAATCAAACCATTCAAACTCTACCCTGGGGGTTGAAGGAATAATTATGGCGCCTCCGGATGAAGGCCGAGATTCTTCTGAAGTCACGAGGCCGATGCTTCTTCTAACAACCAGAGCAACAATTTTCATAGGTACATGGGACGTTCGAACAATGTGGGAAACCGGGAAGACCAGTCAAATAACAACGGAAATAAGGAGATACAAATTGGCAGTACTTGGAATCAGCGAAACCCACTGAACTCAAGTTGCACAGCAAAGGCTAGATACGGGAGAGATGCTGCTATACTCCGGTCACGAAGAGGAAAATGCTCCACACACTCAGGGAATTGCTCTAATGCTGTCTAAAGAAGCACGAAATGCACTTGTAGGATGGGAATCTCACGGATCCAGAATTATCAAAGCATCATGCCAAACAAAGAGTGAGGGGATCAAAATGAATGTTATCCGATCTTATGCACCTATCAATGATAGCAACGACGACAATAAAGATCAGTTCTATGAGAGGCTGCAATCAATCACAGCGAAGTATTCAGGAAAGAAACTGACCAACCTGATGAGAGACCGAAACGCCAAGATCAGGATGGACAACACCGAATAAGAAGATATCATGAGACGACATGAACTGGGAGAGAGAAACTAGAATGGTGACAGATTTTCAAATCTACGTGTATTCAACAACTTGGCTATAAATGCCACAGTATTCTCACACAAACGCATACACAAAGCTTCATGGGTCTCACCGGATCATACCATGGAGAACCATATAGACCATATTTACATCACTATAAAATTCAGAAGGTCAATGAAAGGCGTATGAACAAGGATGATTACTATCGCCCTTTCTTTTCCTTCTGATAGTTGACTGGATTATGAAGACCTACACATCTCAAAGGAAGCACGGCTTACAATGGACAGCTTGTATGCAATCAGACGATTTGAACTTCGCAGATAACCTGTCCCTTCTATCCCATACATGAAAGCAACTGCAGGTGAAAACACACAGTGTATCAGAAGCCTCTGCAGCAGTAGGCCTCAACATACACAAAAGATAAAGAAAGATCCTGAAATCCAACACAGAACACCAACCCAATCTCACTTTATGGAGAAGCTCTGGAAGATGTAGAATCTCTCACGTACCTGGACAGAATCGTCGATAAACAAGGGGGATCTGATGCATGTGTGCGGGCACGCATTGGCAAAGCAAGGACAGCATTCCTACAATTGAAGAACATATGGAACTCAAAACAACTGTCAACCAATATCGAAGTCAGAATCTTCAATACGAACGTCGAGACAGTTCTACTGTATGGAGCTGAAACGTAGAGAACAACTACAATCATCGACAAAAATATTCAAGTATTTATAAACAGTTTTCTACGCAAGATATTCAATGTCCGTTGGCCTGACACCACAGCGACAGCCTACAGCAGGAGAGGACATACCAGCTTCCAACTGAAGAAGATATAAGGAAAAGACGCTGGGGGTGGGTAGGACACACATTGTGGAAATCACCAAACTGCGTCACAAGGCAAGCCCTAACTTGGAACCCTGAAGGCAAAGGGAACAAAGGAAGGTCGAAGAACGCACTGCGCAGAGAATTTCAGACAGACATCAAAACAATGAATCGCAACTGGGAAGGATTGCCTAGGGCAGGGTTAGATGAAAAGTAATTGTCAGCGGCCTGTGCTCCTTCTTGAGAGGTAACAGGCGTAAGTAAGTGAGTATTATTGTGACGGTTTATTTGATCAGTGTCTGTCCCATGATATTCATAATTGTAGACGTAACAACTCAGCAAAATAAGTGCAATTGTAACTGTCAGTTTTAAAAATATCTGTGTTGTTGTTTCTGGATCACTAATCATAACAGTTACTGTTTTACCCGTTTGTTCATGATATCGAGCTAAATATATTTACTGCACTTTCGTTTGAAAATAGCTTATATTCTGCAGAGTTTGCCGCAGAAGTAGATTCAAATTCAACATGCAACAGAACTATACGCTCAGTTTTTCTCATATTTATTCCTTATTATATCATTTCCTTCATGACTTATAGCTTCCATATGATTTTTACTGCATACATGGTCGATTGATCGCAACTTTTTCCCATGACGACAAGTAGTCTAACATCCATCAGTAATGTAAGATATATAATTATTCTAGTGTTACGTTTACTAGCGCTATGTTATCACCGATAAGGTTTCTTCCAATGAAATGCTTGTTATTTATTTTGGTCATTCCTTCGTCTGTATCTCAGGGGATTTACATTATACTGCCTGTTGCATTTAGAATTGTCGTTGACGCAGCACATTTACAAAACATTGTACGAAACTGTGTATTTCAAACCTCTTGAATCCATAAGAGATTCTCACTAATAAAACTCTACGGACTTTTTTTCTGTATCCAAAGGTGTAAAAATAGTTTCCTACAAATTATTTCGCCAAACGGTTACTTCATTCTATTATGTTACTGATTTTTACGATTTCATAAGATTCTTCATTTTCCCACATATATTTGCCCTCTCAGTCAGTCAACAATTGAATACTGTATTTTACAGAAGATTGTCAGGCGGAAGTGGAAAGTGGAGAATGCTCTACAACCTTATGCAATCCGTCAACTATATCCAAACGTAGCAAGTCAAATTCTGCGGAATGTTTACCATCTGTTAAACATAGTCTTGATAGCTCTTTTAATCAGACAATTGGGAAATCTGGTAAGCAGCTTGGAAAACATAAAATTGTAAAACGACAGTCTTCAAAATCATCTTTATCAGATCCTTCCATTGAGGCCGTAGGCGACACTGGGATAAAAAATAAAGAAAAACATTCGGTTGACTTACAATCTCAATGTTTAATTTCAAAGTCCATCAAAAAGCATAGACGGCTATCAGAACATTCCAGCTATTCTACCAGCTCTGATTCAGTCGAGTTAAATCTTAGAAAGTCACAGAAAATTGGTAGTTCACGTGGTCACCAATCTCTATTGCAGTCAAGTCCAGATTCGCCGGTAAGTATTATTTTACAACAGTATTTCCGCCTTTACATTTGTTATGCAATTTATTGCTGTTTTAGCTAGGTTTACATTACTATGTTATTATACTGCAATAAATTTCCTATAATTTCATTTTATTTCTCGCAGTTATTCGTTTACATTATTCATCGTTTCATTTACTCTATCTCAAGATATGAGATGTTAACATCCTAGTTTCTATGTTGATCTACATATTCTGAAAACTCTTTTAAAACGATTAATTGTTCTATGTTAAAGATGTTGTTTGACACATTATTGTATTTCTTTTAATTTGCGGCTATTTACGTTACGCAAACACAGTTTTATTCAGTACATTCTGAAATCCGGTGTTTAGTTTACTAGTATCGCTAAATGTCCTTCACTTTTTGATGTCGTGTTTTGTCACTAGTGTACTTAAAACTGCTTTCCTATACAGCGAAACCATTATGTTAACCTCAAGTACTAGTTTTTCAGTTCATTGAGGGGTTAATTCAAATCACTAATCGGTCATGATAAAGTAAATACATTCATTCATGAATATCTCGTTAATATGCCGAAAAATTAATATTTCATTTTAGCTTTGATTTCTTCGAAAATAAAGAATCACGTAATTGATATTACACGTCATAACTATAACGGAGGAAAATTTGTATGATATGTATTCATTGCCATCGGTTGCATGAACTAAATGTGACCAAGTGACAATTACTCACAAATTCAAATTGTTGATGCAAGGTCCACAATGAAGAGATATCAGAATAATCTGTCAGTAAAACATTTGAGTCGTATGTAAAAAAATTCACACAAAATATTTCACCAAATTTAAATGTTATGAAAATATGAAAAGCTGATTAATTACGTGATTCATTTTTTTAGATCGTTTAAGGACCTATGATATCAAGACCTGATTATCTTGCTTAATTATGACTGCCCATCATATCACAACTTAAATATCTGTAACAATAAATCTTATCTTCTCTGTAAAATAACATTCCTCCAATTGTTTTCCTCTTTGTAGAATAAACCTAGTTTTCAAAATCAAACTCACCATACGCATTTCGAATCGTTAGATTCTGATGCCAACTCAGAAACTAACTCTGTGGATAGCTGTGTTAGAAAGAATAATAAGATAGCTATGATTTCAAAAGTAAAACAACCTAGTGTTTCGAATTATGCTAATCAAACAAAAAAACAATCAACTTCTCAATCTTATATGCAAAAAAATACTAAAACGAAAAAATCCAACTTTCAAAATTTGGGAGTTATTGGTCGTGTTAAATCTCTTTCTCATCAGTGTCGTTCGACTAATTCAAAGCAGTCTACAGGTCCAACTCGCACTCTTGCTCCACTACCGTCTGCTATGATGAATAGCAGAAATACATCTCGTCCGGGGAAGCATTCCATTACGAATAGGAAAACTAAGCACGATTCTAAACGTTCGGAATTCGCCAGTAAATATGAAATGAAACATGTATCACATCACTTTGCTTCAGGTGGTAATCATCACACTTCGCGAGTGAAGAATTCGAAATCTAAGTCATTAATTTCCAAAACCAGTCATTCAAATGAAAGTCAAACTCACAAGCCACATTCGGAAGAACAACGAACAAGTAAAAAACACTTGTCTGAATGCCCGAGTTTCAAAATGCGTCAAATTAATTCAGCAACCAAGGAGAGCTCCATTAGAAACGGCCAAAAGGTATATAATCTTTTATTGACGTTATTTTGTACAAACGCATTTCTCATTTTATTCAATTGTATGTTTTTTTCCGTAATTTAGCTAACGGTTTGACTTCTAAGCATAACATTTTAAACGTCCATATTTCATATACTGTTTTTTTCATTTTGTTGGTCCTCGTCTAATAATTTAACAAGCTTTTTATAGCCTCTTTTGTTGATCGTGTACATTTAATTATTTCTCCGTGAAGTGTAGATATTAGGCGTACTTACTACTATAACTCTCAGTAATCACACTTCTGTATACTCTTGATCGGACATGAATTTTGTGGTTCAGTTATTGAAATATTCAAATCTGCATCAGTAGTTTGAACCACGTTCTATTACGTAGTTCGACCATTTAATTAGTTTTATCGATCATCCCAACATAGACATCAGTCGAATTCGTTTAATTGAACTACATGGTACTTTTCACTTACTATTCCTTTGACGTCACAGAAATAATGATATTTTTCTTCTTGTCACACTTTTCACGCTTATATTAATTGTAATACAGTGCGTATCGTATTTTTTGGCGTATTTTATTCTTATTTTCAGCTGGAAATCCTATCCAATTGTGATAAAAGTGAAGAACAACTATCCGATTCTAGTGAATCCTCCTTGTCATCCACTTCTACATCATTGTCTTCATCGTCAACATCATCATCAGAAGATAGTATGTCCTCTTTTTCCTCGTCGTCATCCTCGACTCTTCAGTCTAGATTAAAGCAAAAAAAGAAAACAAAACTCACTTGATGCTTTCCTTGTTTGTTTTTTATGAAACATTAACGAAACAATTCGGAGGTCCAAATCTCTCAACACTTAAAGTAACATTTTAGGGCTGTTTTATTATTGTTGTTCTTTGCCAACCAAACCTTACGTTTTTATTGCGATTTTTTTAATGCTTGTTTCTGTTCATTATTATTCTCTAGCAAATAGTATTTTTACACAGAGGAAAGGTTAACAAACGCACCCTACATTCAAAAGCATTCCTTTTAAAGCGCCTTTGCTTTACTATTACCTATGAACAAATCGGATTATCTCCATAATGTTGATATTGATTTAAATAGGTGTAGTTACGCAAAAATACCTGATTTTTGTGTATCATCCATAGTTTTTTATACTATTGTTGTATAGTGCTGTCAATATTCAGCTTTATTTATCAACACATATTTTGTTTTCATCTCCTTAAATGTTTTTAAAGATTCTGTATTGTGTGTAATATATTGAGTTATGCTTGTATGTGTACTTGCTGCCTTTTGTTTAGCCATGTTACAATCTTGGAAATAAGAGGCCATACTTATAACCTTTATATGAACATGAATCTATCGACCTACTACATCGTCCAACTAGTTGCTTCTGAGCTCATGTATGTCTTTTTTCTACAGATTCGGATACTTTCTGAGCATATCTATCCCTTTCAAAATTCCCATTTTTAAAATACAATACTTCGATTATTTCTCTTGCATTCGTTCTAATATATTCGTTAATATTCCACTTACAAACTAATTTTTTTCAATTCCGCAACAGTTACTGTCCCAATATTATTTTTACATTTCTTGTTTCTTTGGTTGGTTGATTATACCAATACCAATCAAGATAACGATTTTGTAATTTTTTGATTCACTTCTTTCATTTCATTGTTTGATTTTTTCTTGGTTTGTTTGTTGCTTTCCAGTTGATCATACTTTATTTGCGTTGCCCATGTTATCTGTTGTTGTTTGTTTAACGTATTCGAATGTTTCCAAATATTAGTCACCAGTAGTAGCTGAAGGATATATATATGCTAAAGTATTGTTAACTTCAAATTGACACCGTCAATATTAATTCTTGCTATGATTATCTCAGTTTAATTTGTACAGGTTGAATCGCACTCTCGATTTACACATCTCAATAATCAAAACGTCAGAAAATAAAGCAATCAAGTTCATATAAATGATTAATTTTATGAAGTATTTAATTCCGATCATTGTTTATCTTTACATATCCCGTTTTGCTCTATCAAATGTGTATTCATTTCAAACAATTTATGTCCTAAAACTTCGGTTAACGATAGTTGAGAATCAACCAGTATTGTACACAAAAAACATTTGGTGCACTAAGAAACGCTTCAGAAAGATGATTACATTGTGAAACATTAGAAAAAAAAACATTAACAAGTAAATTTTTTTTGACAAAAACTCTACTTATCTATACTTCATAATGAAAAATACAAATCAGCTAAAACTCATTTGGCTAAGAACAACATACTCCTTTTATGAGTAATGTAAGGAACAACGATAGGATCGCCACTGGGCAATACTCTAAACGCAACCTTGTACACATTTGTTTGCAGTACGGCTTATATGAATGTATACTTGAAATTCGGAAGTAAATTGCCAAGTAGGGTCGCTGTGCGGAACGTTGGTATTTGTGAGAAATAGGTTATTTGCACAATTGAAGCAGACAATTCCTAATATTCAACCTGCAACCAACAAGTCACTATTCATCATTCAAACTCCTCTGCTTCTGCCAGTGAATTACTACTCACTGCCTTCTCGTGGCGGCGGTGTTGTTTACGAAGTTGAGAGGACGAAAAGTGAATCTCCGACGCTTTAACCTGGTTGGTGGACACGAAGAGTCAGCCTAGGGGAGTTGGAAAACCCTGATTACAAATCAATGGTGCACATGGGCTCCAGTATCCTGAGTGAACAAACGGCGTATGGACCAATTATTGGTCACCGGCTATCATGGGACTGCATATCCTTGCGTTGCTTCACTGCCTTGTGGATCAGACCTGTAGGTCGTAGGCTATGAGTGTGGCCCCCTAAGAAAACCACATGTTTCGGTTTTGGCACCCGGGCAGTATCACAGCTCTCGCACAAATCAAATGAGATTTGTGTGGTGCATATGTATTCGGTGCCTCCTTTAACCAATATCTATGTGTTCAAATAAAAAACAGTTAGTACAAATACCACAGTGCACCAAACATCAGTAACGAATCTTCTTGTGCCTCCAACCCAAAGGTCCAATCAAATGAGGTGACATCGGGAAATAAGGTCTCATAGTAGCACATGGCATTCTTTCAATATCCTATGGTCCGTGTATGTCATTGGTTTGGACTAGGGTCTTCCAACACATGTAGTCGTCCACTTCAGCCATTCTAGATTAAACTCCAAATTTCCACTTCTGTAATGATAATCAGCAGGACTTCCCTGGAAGAGGTCATAAACTTGCGAGTGTATGAGAATAAGTGGATTCCATTCTCTCATCCTTGCCAAGGTAGGAGACCATCGTGTTGAATATCCAATCATGCTCCTATGACAAGTAAGACTCAACAACCGTATCCTACATTTGCTTACTAAGGCGTACTTCTATTCGGTTTGTCAAGGTGAATGCTAAATGCCGTAAGTTGTAACTACATTATTTTAGAAATAAAAATTTGAGTCGCAGATCCACAAATGGAAACTGGGGACATTTTAATTCAGAACAAGTGAAATATGTGAACAATATTACATTATTACAAATGGTCTCCAGAATTCAACTTCTACCATGGAATAAATCACTTGATTTCAGTTATGAAACAATTTGTAGACGTGAATAAGCATAAACACTGAACACTTGATTACAGGGTTCCCAAAATTCCACTATTGCAAAGCGTGAACTCTGACTACGCTTCATATTCTATTAGTGCTCACACTTAATACAAATGGTAATTTCAGCTAAGTCGAATTTCTAACCTTTTGTTTCTGCGAAAATTGCGGTGACGTAAAGTAAAACAAGATACACACTTAGCAAGCACGGGAGCTTGGGTTTAAGAATTCTCATATATGAATCTTACCCTATCTAGCTATGCACCATAAAGAATAATACAGACTAGCCATGCTGTAATTGTATCCGGAACTAAAACCATCAATTTAAACCGGACTATTCGCACACTTTTCAACGAAGTGCACTATCGACATTTTTGTCACTATTTATCAGCTAGAAAATATAAACCATCTGGTTAAATGAACAAGACTATACAAACAACATTTAATGCTACTAGATCTAACTGCGAAATAAACTATTTCCCCAAAACTATAAAAACAACAAATTTGTGTTAAAAAATAATTTATACTTTTGTTAAATCAGGAATATAAACATCAGGTACAAACGTATATATAAAAGCATATATTATTGACTGGTTACTTTTAAAAGGAATAAATAATACTTTAGCGCTCAAAATAAAATGAGTAGTTTTGTGTTCATTTATCTAAAAAGAATTGTCAAAATATCTTTTCACTTTGCACTATTACATAAACATTCTAATAACTTATTTCTATCAATCTGAAAAGATTGCCAATACGACACCATTTGTAAACCAGTATCAACATTATTATTATTAGAGTTGTTCTCAATCATCCCGTCCACTATTGACACGAAAGAGAAATTGGCCTATCGAATAAAAACGAATAGATAAATAAAATATAACAATCACCAAATTAACGCATTAGAATTAATTTTACAAATGAATAAAGACAATTAAGACATGGCAAGGCAGCAACTGAATCCATACATAAGCGAAATCATCACATATTCTTTACTCATTTAACTTCAAATGAACTTGGTTTCGTTATATTAAATTTAAAAGCAAATAATCAAAAGACACATGAATGCTTAAAAGTCGTCCAGTACTTCCTTAAGTATGCCTTGATTGGTGTTCTCCGTTTTGTACTATAGAATATTCAACTTCCTTTTGTGGATGCTGAGACCTACTGCTGTAAAGGTAGCTGCAACACTGGCTGTCTTCACCTGCATTTGTTTTTGCGTATGGGATAAAAGAACTAAATTATGTGTCAAGTTTCAATCACCTAGCTGCGTCCGAGGTTTCCACTGTATCCAGAGCTTTCCTTGAGATATGGAGTTCTTAATAATCCTTCATTAATTTCATATGATAGCGACTATTGTCCCATGTACTCCATTATGTTGAGGGAAACTCCTTAAGGTTTTTGACGCACGCTTTTGAATACTTTCTTATGATTTGGGTGTATAGTGATGAGTTCCATTCAATTGGTTGTTCAAAAACGATTCGCTGTGTCGCGATTTGGTCGGTATATGATTCATCCTTACGAAAGCCAGCTTGTTAATCTTGATATTGACCATCTACTGGATCTTTCATTCGGTTCGACAAACCTGTTGGCATTTGTTCTTCCTGTCAGATCTTTCGTAAAAGAATGTGCAACATCTTCATAGTTCCCGCCGTATGTGAGTCTAAGGCCTCAGCTAGTATGTTGTTTGGTCGTCCTGCTTTGCCATCCTTGGTCCATCTGGTGGTCTTGGTGGTTTTATCTACTATTCGTGTGGTATCATCTATAAGGAGGTTTGTTGTGTTGCTTTGCTTTGATATTCGGTGAGTTCAATAACTTTGTTTCATTCAACAGCTCTTAAAATTTGCCTACCCATCTGTTTCACTAGCCTGAAACCAGTGGTTGGTTTTCCTTTTTCATCTTTGACTGGTCGTTCTGGTTTACTGTACATCTCTCTGCTAGCTCCTTTGTTGTATCATGCGGTCTGTTGTGACGGGCGGTGTCCGAAATCGGATACTGATACACGGTGTATTACGCGCTAATACCCCCAACTGACTACTTGAGCGGGAAAGTGTATTGGGCTACCGAATAAAATGCACAAATACTCATTCATAAATATACGATACTGATTTTCAGGAAATTAATACGACTTTTTTAGCAGTGAAATGCACTTGTACTTTAGGTCACTTCAGGATTGTCGTCTATTGACCTACTCAATAGGCTACTCCTGACTGGCCCTTCATATCAGCTCTCCCTCCTGAAAAATAAATCCTGCTCGTTGTATTTAATTGAAGGCGTTGAGAGGATTGTTAGATCATTAAATTTGACTGTACATTGTGATAAGTCTTGTTAATTTGGACGCTTTATTCGGTTCCTAGGCTATTCTGGTAACCCGCGAGCTAGAACTACGCAGCGACCTGAACTCGAGAGAAAAAGCGCGAACTAAGCAAAAAACACTTTACTCCAAAGGTTCATTTCTGTACAGAAAAACACGGATATTTATAGATGTTAACATTTGTTAAATCAACATCATATTTTGACCAATCCGCTAAAAGACATATTATGCTACTGACCAATAGTAGCACACCACGTTGATATTCTAGAAAGCTCCGTCATGCTCTGATTGGCTAGGACTCTTCGGCTCCTTTAGGGCCTCTGGAGGCTCTGTTGCAGTTTTCGGAAAGCCAACTCAACACATTGTACATTCTAGAAATTGAGATTGGGATGCCCGATGGATTATTTATGCAATCGATAGTAGGATGAATGCTTGACCGACCAAGTTCGTGCTAAGTTTTGCAAGAAATCAAAGTAATATCGGATTCAGTGTCTAACTGCAAAGTCATAACGCGTTCATTGACAATAATTGATGAACACTTGCATAAGACTTTGAGGTTAGATTTCCATAATGCATTCACATAATTTATCAATTTTGGGCATCGACAGTGGGATGGGGGTTCGCTGCGTTTGTTCGACCGTTATTGACTGCTGTTTTCTTGTTTTTCCTTTTCTGAATCGTGCCAGCGTTACCTATGAATGTCCGTACGTCACGCTGGTGCATCTCGTAAATAAGTGAATTCACCTGTGTAAAGAGTGGGAGATATCATTGTTTTGGGACACACTTGGTTGCACTATGTGGAGTCATGACTCTTCTATATGAAGACTTTTCAATTCCCAGTGTAGAGTTAGGGTGGCTAAGATAATTTGTTCTGGTTAACGTGCTTTTAAGGAATTTTTTCTTACGTCGTAAGATTGCTAACCCAACACCTATCCGTTCTCGTTTACCAGGGTTTGGAACCAACAATAATCCTAGAGGATATCCAGGTGAATGTCTGGGATTTCTAAACATGTAAACATACTTATAACACTCAATTTGTTTTCCATTGTAATTCCATCCAATCAACATTTGTAAAAGTTGATTTCGATTCTGCTGTAGTCATTGGATATTTGTTTATTGTAAGTTTCCATACTTTGTGTTCTTTATTCTCCTTTTCATAATGTTTGCCATTATAATTTCGACTCAGCTGTCATACACAACTTATCGTATTTTCATATGAATAACTTTCCAAATTCGTTTTGGGAAGCATACTTCTTTGATTGTACGCAAACTCGGTAGATATCGTAAACAAATTGACGTTCGTACTGCGTTTCATACATATAGGCAATAACAGTACAATAATTGTAGACAATCTTGTCAAGGATTTTACGCGTCATTCATTCTCATGGTTGTTAACTTCGATTCTATGGGTAGGAACTTTGATATTCCTAGGGTTACACACACGACCAATCAACTATTTCATAATAAAAATAAATTTCTCATGGAATCTGGCACACACCATCATTAACTATTGTTCTTCTGGTTGCTGTGTCAATGTTTCGTTCACTGATGAAATTCCCCGACGATAGTTTCAAACAACCCGAAATTTAGAACTTAACGCGATAGTTTACTCTAACGGAACACTGTTCGCATTATTCAGACACCTTTATGTCATTTTTATTGCATAATTTGACACAAAGAAACTATAAAACACAACAAGCATGTCAGTAAACATCATTATGTATGGTTTGTTTCGTAATTTTGCCACACACTAGCCAAACAACATGGAAATTCGACGTAACCGCTAGCCTTCAAGATAATAAACAATATTTAAATTGTAGAGTAACCATGGCTGAAACATAATGCCCAGCTTTATCATATTATCTGAGTTCAAAACTTACATTCTATGTTACGTTAATAAAATCCCTTTAAAGTAAAATGAAACATTAAACTAAACCAATAACACCCAAGAAATCCTTCCAAAAACCCAAGTAAATTTTAGCAGGTCTATCCGATATCTTCATTCACTTTAAATCCAGCCATCGACGAAATTCCGAAAACAGATTTGAAGGAAGCAGATGAGATAAATATGTTAACTGACGAAAGTAACAAGTGCTAAATGAAGCAAATCGTACATTTCGTTATTTTCTCAATTTCGCTAGTGGTACATCCTCAAAACACTAAAGAGTTGAATTATATGTGACTGATTAGTGTCTGACTATTTATGTTGTGGTTAACATTCATTGGTATAAGGGTTTCATCAAATAAATTCCAGACACGTGATTATACATCAGACTTGCAAAAGCATATAACATCATTTATTCAAAGGTAACTAACTAGATGAACAAGATCCCGGTTTGTCGTTACGATATTCATTGCCAAAAAACACGTAACTTATCAAAATAATTCATGTACTATCAGAGAACCAACTATACATCATGGTGTTTTGTTTTGATACTTTATAAGTTTATCATTCTTACAGATAACATAGATTACCTGAAGGACCAAGTTATATACGTGAATTGATCATCACTTTGGTCCTACAATTTAGCTCTTGTTTTAAACTGATAAATGTTAATGGATGATAACTAACAAGAGACAAATCTAAAACATTTCAATAGCTGATTTTCTAATATCTAACGCCTATCGCGGTTTATTTATTTTATGTCATAAAGTACAAGATGTTTACTATAACCGATCATCACGACTAGTCACTGGTGCGACGCTGATCGATAAGCGGTTATATGAAATAAATTTTAAATTACGTTTGCTAGCCTCAATAACGTGCTATAAGATGTCAACTATAACCGAGTGTCGGATATAATTAGCAACTAATTCCTGTGCAGAAGCATATGATTTAAGAATATTGCATGATTGTCAAGAATCGATCAGCCAGGTGTATTGTGTTTAAGATTTTTCGCCGTTAGAATTATAAAAAGTATGATTTACAATAATAAATTGATGAGGACAGTTTTATCATACTTATCATCATCAACGTCAGGAAAAAAATAACCAAACACAGATGTAGACTTACATTGTGTTTCCCACACTTCTTAAATTCGGAGTTACAAGCGACATTAGAACTCGTTCGATTTCTAATCAAAAACAGCAGAATGTTAATCGTTATGACTGCGAAAAATTATATTGGTGAAATACAAATCCATATTACTGATGTTTACTTGTTTTACTCTATAGAAAAAGTAGTTAGATATTTAGGTTCTGTTTTAATATGTCGGAAGCGTCATGATATTTCAATACATTGTGGTAGTTAACGCTTGGATTCAGGATACTCACCATACTACGGACAGATGTACTTAGATTCGACAGTTTCGAGAAACAAAGCATTTATAACTAGAATAAATAGTGTGCTTTATTTCACGTAAGCATGAGATAAAGAGATAGATAATGATTATACAAAACATTTTGCTTTCTGAATGTAAACTACTAAACTTTACCACGCTTCAACTTATTTGGTATAATGGAATATAAATTTGAGTAAAGAACTTCGCGAAATTTTCCTCACTCGAATCGAATGTATAGTGTACATGACTCAAATTCGCGTCACTGTACAAAGCCTTACACTAGTTACTGGAACTGTGGGGCACGGCATTTCTCCCGTTTCTGCCCATTCAATGAACATAAATGCGCAAAATATGGAGTAACTGACCATAAGGAGGGATCCAGATGATCCCATTGTTTATGGTTCTGATAAGGTAGTTCATGACCAGAGACTTATTGCTTTATTGAGTCGTTTAACAAAAAAGAATATTATGGTGGATCCAAATGAGTGTTCATTTTGTTTATCCAGTTTCTAATGTCTTGGATACCTGGCTGATGGTAATGATTTGAGACCACATATGAAACGACTAGCTCGACTGACAAATGCACTGTCTCCAAAAAAATCCTACAGGATTGCGTTCACTAGTGAGTGCTGTTTAATACTATTCCCGTTTTATTCCTAATTTTTCTTGTCGTGCCAGTTGTTTATTTAATATTTTGACATCCAATTCATTCAAATGGGGTGAGGAACAAGAGTCATGCTTACGAAGTTTACTAAAGTTTCTTCATAGTGATGCTGTTCTTCGAACTTACTCCCCTAGTATACATTCTATGCTTATTACTGATGCATCACCTGTGGGTATTGGCGCAGTCTTGAAGCAGGAAGGTAGACCAGTTATCTGTGTTTTACGCAAACTTACTGCTACTGAACAAGGTTATTCATAAACATAGCGAGAAGCATTAGTTGTGTTTTGGACTGTTAAAAGATTTCATAAATATTTACTCAGAAAGAAATTCACTATTGTTACTGATCACGAAGCTTTAAAGTTCATTCATCATCCTGAAAAATCCTTAGCTGCTACGGTTAAACGATGGAGTATTGTTTTGAGCGCCTATGACTTTACGGTCCAGCACAGGAATGCCAAACAAATTCGAAACGTTGACTACATTTCTCGAAAATCATTACAAGATAGACCTGTTAAAGCTTCAGACTGTTTGTTAGTGCAACCTTTACCGGCGAAACGTCCAGATCTCATGAGAGAAACTCGTATGTACTTTGGATGTATACTCAGTGCTATACGAAAAGGTTGGAATGCTAATCTAAAACGTAGATTTCCTGTCTATTTTTCAAAGTGAGATGAGTTATCCACTACTTCCGATGGTATTTCGTCTTTAAATGATCGTGCTGCTATTCCTCCTCTATTGTGTAAATTTGCCCTTGAAGATTTTCATAGTGGACATTTGGGTATTGAGAAAATGAGGTCCTCGGTAAGGCTCACATGTCGGTGGCCAGAGATAAATGCAGATATATTTTGTACAACAAACAATTGTGGGAAATGTCATAAGTTGAAAAATCAGCCTTCAAAGTGGACTCCATGGCCAGTATCGTCTGAGGTCTGGCAAAGAATTCATGTGGATTATTGTGGTTCGTTTCTTGGCAAATACTATGCACTTGTGGTCATCGATTCTTTTTCGAAGTGGTCTGAGGCTTTTTCACAACTTCACCAAATTCTGACTTCACAGTCCAGGATTAAAAAAGGTGTTTAGTCGAGAACGGGTTCCCATGGTGTTAGTGACTGGTAATGGTCCTCGTTTTGTTGTGGATGCAGTCACTGCCTGGTTGAATGGTATGGGGTGTACACATCTGTTTACTGCTCCCAGACACTCTTTTTCTAATGGTCAAGCGGAATATCTTGTCGCGACATTGAGACTGCTATTGATTTTATTGGTGCTTCAACATTTAATGAACTGGAGAGGGGAGTAGATACAGTCCTACTGCAATATAGAAATGCTAAACATTCTGTGACGAAAGAGACTCCATCAGAGCTATTAAAAGAAAAAATTCTTTGTTTGAATATTAGGTGTTTGGAGTTTGCCGAAGTTACATATTATCGTGAGAATGGTCTTCAATCAGTCACGGAGATTGTAATGAGCAATGTCGGAAAATCTACGGTGCGAAGTCTATAAATCAATGACTTAAGTATACACAACTGCAGGTGAAAACACACAGTGTATCAGAAGCCTCTGCAGCAGTAGGCCTCAACATACACAAAAGATAAAGAAAGATCCTGAAATCCAACACAGAACACCAACCCAATCTCACTTTATGGAGAAGCTCTGGAAGATGTAGAATCTCTCACGTACCTGGACAGAATCGTCGATAAACAAGGGGGATCTGATGCATGTGTGCGGGCACGCATTGGCAAAGCAAGGACAGCATTCCTACAATTGAAGAACATATGGAACTCAAAACAACTTTCAACCAATATCGAAGTCAGAATCTTCAATACGAACGTCGAGACAGTTCTACTGTATGGAGCTGAAACGTAGAGAACAACTACAATCATCGACAAAAATATTCAAGTATTTATAAACAGTTTTCTACGCAAGATATTCAATGTCCGTTGGCCTGACACCACAGCGACAGCCTACAGCAGGAGAGGACATACCAGCTTCCAACTGAAGAAGATATAAGGAAAAGACGCTGGGGGTGGGTAGGACACACATTGTGGAAATCACCAAACTGCGTCACAAGGCAAGCCCTAACTTGGAACCCTGAAGGCAAAGGGAACAAAGGAAGGTCGAAGAACGCACTGCGCAGAGAATTTCAGACAGACATCAAAAGAATGAATAGTAATGGGAGACAACGAAATAGGGTTGCCTGGGTCAGAGTTCAATGGAGAATCCGGGTAGGTGGCCTATGCTCCTCTACGATGGGTAACAGGCAATTTTCAGGGCGATCACAGTACTCAGATTTTGTTAACAATGCGGAAATCTTTTCTAATTCAATTTTACGCATGAGCTGTAGCTTTTAATGATTGGTTGTTATTACTTCTAGTTAGCTAAATTTCTATATGCTTGAAGGTCATGTTATTGTAACTATACATTTACGGAGTTGTCTATTTGTTTTGCGATACTTCTCCTACCTTAAATATCAGGTTTTCCTATCTATACGTTAGCTGTCGGATGTTGTTTGTGAAGTGCCGTTATCGTCCAAGAAACGAACTGACCACATTAGGGTACGTAACTCTCCAAGTATTGTAGACCAACACTAAACTTCAATGACGAGATACAACATTTACTATTATTACCATCATTATTTCATTATTATTTTCTGTTATAATCTCTTTCTTCTTACGGTTATGACCCAGCTATTCCTATTGCTTAGTATTCTTGGACACCGATTCACTCGACACGTCCCCAAATCAGAACACGGTTGAACAGGAAAGAGATTATAACAGTGGCGACGGGGAAAAAGGAAAACAAATTCAAGATGCCCATATCAGATGACCAGCTTAACCGAATACTACAACAACAGCAAGCACAACTTGATGCACAAATGCGGTTGTTAGAGACCCTGACTCAACAGCTCAACATTCATAGCTCGAGTTCACATGCTATTTCAAGTACGTCTTGTGATGCAGTTGCTAGCAGCATCCCAGAATTCATCTATGATCCCGAAAGTGGAAATACTTTCCTCACGTGGTTCAAACGCTGGGAAGATACATTTAGAACAGAATTCTGTAACCAAGACGATGCGTGGAAGACCCGATTGTTGGTACGTAAGTTGGGAAGCAATGAACATGCACGTTTTGCTGACCATATATTGCCAAAATGAACCTGGATCAAAAAGAAGTTTCAGATGATCCCTTCAAAACTCATGTTGACCAGATTGTTAATTCTATCCATGAATTTAATTTTGATGGTTCAGCTGGCATTACTTTTGAAACTTAGTTCAAGAAATATGAAGATTTGTTCAAGGTCGACCTAAAAAAACTTGATGACGCCGCTAAGGTCAGAATACTCTTGCGAAAACTTGGAACTGTTGAACATGAACGTTACAGTAACTTTATCCTTCCAAAGAATCCAAGAGATTTTTCTTTCGATGCAACGATTGAAATTTTGTCGCAAATCTTTGCTGAACAGTCATCCTTGTTTAATATTCGTTATCAATGTCTCAAGATGACAAAAGCAGGTGATGATGACTGGGTGAAGCATGCGGGTTTAGTAAACCGTGAATGTGAGCGCTTCAAACTATCAGCAATGACAGAAGACCAGTTTAAGTGTCTCGTATTTGTGTGCAGCCTCCAATCTCCCGAAGATGCCGATATTAGAACCAGAATTTTGAGTAAAATTGAACAATGTCCGAATATGACACTACAAGAAGTAACCACAGAGTGCCAGAGATTGGTGAACCTAAAGCATGACACTTCGATGGTCGAAAATAATGGCCAGTTGCCATACGTTCGTGCTGTAAGCGGAAAGAACGATTCTTGCTCAAGAAAGGCATCGCACACAGATAATCAGCCTTCATCTCCATGTTGGTCTTGTGGTGGTTGGCATTATAAAAGGTTCTGCCCATATAAAGAACATTGTTGTAGCAAGTGTCATCGCAAGGGACATAAAGAAAACTGCTGCAGAAAAAGAACCCATAAACGACATTCTTTGAAACCCTACTCGAAGAAATACAGATTTAGTGCTCGAACTAACAAAATATTGGTATCACATAATCGAGCACGAATTTGCCGCCAAAGAAAGTATGTAAACTTGGATATAAATAAAAAGCGTGCCCGCCTGCAACTCGACACCGCTTCTG